ATACTAATTTTAAAATCTTAGAAACATATAAATAATATTTTCATTCTATTTATAATCGAAACGTAGTTACGAGCATAAATTATTCAAAACTTTACTGATTTGATAGTTCTTAAATAAAAAAATTATAATTTTTAGAAACTTATAAACGATCTAACATTTTATTATTGCAAAGTACAGCCACTTTCATTTTTAGGGTCATTGTTGTTTTGTCGAATTTCTTCTTCTTTCACTGCTGGTAAATCTTGTTCTTTACCAATTTTGGCTGTTTCAAAACCTGTTAATGCTCTACATATATCGAGATTCCATAATGAATTGGGAGCGGGCATCTGGAAATTAATTGGACTAACTAATCCATATGTCGCTTTTGTATCTAGAGCAGGTAGTTCTTGAGGAACCGAATGATGATATCTAAAAAAATTTCAGCTTATTTAAATTTGTTTCAAAATTTCCATGTAAAAATCCAACTGTAATATATGACAATGTTTTACATTAAACTATTTTCGCGCTCGCACTTTTCAAGGGTGCGTTTGACAAGAGGAGCTAAACGTTTGAAAACAGCATGTTGGTCTGGCTTAATTCTTGGTGCCGGTCCATTCGTTTTTCCGTACTCTTGACAAAGAGTTTTTGCTTTAGTCAAACAAGCTTCACTTTCTTTCAGAGCTCGTATTGCTTCGCCACATTTGTCCATGGACAATAAATTTTCCCCGCAATAATTGTAAGCCTGAAACAAATTTTATTATTGATGTAACTTTAAAAAACTTTTACAAAGATAATAATGGAACTTTTTGAATACATACACATGATTGGTAAAACATTGATTTAAGCTCTAGGTACTTAATCCACTGTCCTGAAATTTCAGGTTTGAATGGTCTTAGAGTGTTTGCAGCATCCATAAATAGTTTGCTTGTTTCATTTGCTAAAGCGGATATTAAATTAGAGTTATGCTTCAATTCTACTGCTCTGGCAACAGTTACTGAAATCACACAAATAAATTAATTATATTTATAAATTTTTCAAAGATTTAAGAAGAATTGAAGTATTGAATAGAGTCTCTGTGTAGGTTCGGAGTCACGGACACACGCAAAACTATCCGTGAAATGCGATATTGATAACAGCGCACGTGAAAGACAAAACATCAGCAAAATAGTTTCACTCGCTTGGATTATCAAAAAATAAATAATTTCCAAACGTATCAATGTCGTGGACGGAACTCTAGACGTATACACATCAGGGTCTAGAATATATTACCTTCCTGAGCCTCAGCAGTACACTGATTTACATATGCATTTATCACCCGAGGATCTAAATCACTGCCAAGTGGAGGTGGGTTGGATAATTGGGGTAGAAATTCTGTTTGTACAAAAGTAAAGATTCCAGCAGCTCGCCTGAGCATGCTATGTACTTCTTTTGCTTCATTCATTGTTATGCTGAAAGAAAATAATTTTTTTTTTTTTTACTTTGAAAATAAACGTAGCAATAATTCATAAATAATAAATTTTTAATAATTACTCATTTTTAGAAGCTATCATAGCAGCATGTTTCATGAACCACAAGCCAAGATTTATGCTCATGTTTGCTGCTTCATAAATAGAGTCAGCAAAGGATCTAAGAAAATAATTTAATATTGAGTCTGATTTAACTGATTCAACTAAACAACAAAAATAAACATACACAGTTCCTGGACCCAAAAGTGTTTGAGTCCACTTGAATACGAGCGCATTTCTAAGCTTGCTAGGATTTGGCCTGCCAATAGGTTCATTGTTATCCTCACCAGCGTCAACCTCCCAGATAAAACCATAAAGTAAAGCTAAATACGATACAAAAGCAGGCTCGACAGACGTGCTTGTGTTATTGGGATTTTTAATAAGATCCAACAGTCGACTTCGGCAGGTACGTAAATCACTAAAATAATAAGTCAATTAGCATCACGGAATTTTTATGGTACTTGTTAAAAAAAACACACAACTACAAACCTGCATAGTTTCCTTGTAGCATCGGTTGGATCGCTGTGTTTTAGCTCGAATTTATGATTAGTCGTCGCCTTGAGGACGTTCCTGTGAAACCAGTGGGCCATTTTTACCAAATGAGCAGTTGTTACTTTGTCCCTGGCCTTGAATTTTTTTATACTCGTCCAGAGATGTTTTGATGTGTTGTTGAAAGATAAGGTGGACAAGTACCTAGTGATCTCGGATTTTGTCCTACATCCTCCATATACTCAAAATGGTACAAAATACTTGTCTGAGAGGAGTGTTGCGTTTTCTATTGTTTTTAGCGCTACAATTTCACTTTTCACACGGAAGGCACGACTCTCTGTTGTTATTTGTTATCATTCACCACACTCACTGTCATTTGCGTCTCGTAAATCGAAGATATTTATGACAATACATCGAAAGTATCACGAATCGAACATCGATGAATCTCTCGATACATCGAGTTTACAAAAAAGCGCGCAAAGCGTGAAGAAAAACATGTCATGAGTCATGACAGATTTTTTTTGTGTGTACTATACAAATAATACTAACACTTCTGACGATTCTTACGAATCCTATATTCCTATCTCCTATTCCTAAATTCCTATCCTATCATCAATCATGTATGGGTAACATGTACACGTAATGTACCAACTGAATACGTGTATTTTTTACAAACGAGTTATAATTTCGCAAGTAATTTTACGGCAAAAGTCATTAATTTGCAATGGGTACTTGATGAAAGGTTTTATTCTACTCTACCCCTATCTTTAATCTACTAATTTTTAATAATTTTTTGTTTGGACACATTTGGGATCAATTAGAGCAAAGAAATTGAATTTATGAAGAAAGAAATCAACCTAAGTTAAAAAAACAAGAGGTAAAGAAGGTAACGCGATTACCATACAAGTACAATAAAACGAGCCCCCCTCCCCGCCATACTCTTTAATTTCCCACTCGCTCCGCACGATACAGTTTCGGCTTCGGCCATCTCCTTTCCTGTTGGCCAGGCGTGCGAGAAGCCTGGGAATTGTGTGGTATTTTACGAGGTAGTCCTCGTAAAAAGCCAAAAAATGGTAAGTAAAATAATTGGTGCAATGCATGCGAAATTCTCTCCGTTTTATTAAATAAAACTCTTGTACTCAAAAGTTAGTGGAATAGTTGTAAAACGTTGCAAATAACATGAGTCTGTTGGAGCTGTCGAGGTTCGCCACGTGCGTCGAGCATTACAGTGTTGAAGTTTCGTTGGGTTAGAGGTTTTTTTAGTAAAGTAGTTGTTTAAATTAATTTTTGCACTGTGGTTTTTTAATTTATAATATAATTTCAAAGGTTTCTGGGGTTATTATATTCATACGAACGCGGTGTTGTGGAATACAGTTTGTTGGTTATGTCAACTCACTTATCGCCTTGTGCGACATGAGAAAAAGATTACAAGAGGAGTTTTTGATTTCTAACAAAGACTACAATGCTACGTGTTTTTTCTTGCAATTAATGAATTTTTTTTATGCTTTTTCTTTTATTGTACATGATGATTTGCTTTGGTCCGTGTTTATGATTAACATTGATTTTAAAACAAAGCGTTAACTGATGAACAATACCGTCAATAACTATTGCAATTAAGAGTCTTGTGTATTGTAATTTAATCCTTCAATTTTTCTTGCAGCTATCAACAGCGCGTCCTTTGGTCACAGTGTACTCGGAGAAAAATGAACCTTCGAAAGAAACAATTTCCCTTCCTGCTGTATTCAAAGCACCGATTAGGCCTGATGTTGTGAACTTTGTTCACCAACAGGTTTCCAAAAACAGCCGTCAGCCGTACTCCGTTTCTAAGGAGGCTGGTGAGTTGTTGTTTTGTGCAATTTTTTATCGATCCTCCACTGCACTGTAGCAAATGTCCTCAATCTTGTTATATATTGCTCGATTGATCCATCAGGTGCAAGAGCAAATCTATGATCAGGCGTTCTTGGTTTATGAAATTATGCATACAACAGGGACATGATCATTGCACAATCCATCTTTCCAACACAACCCTTGATCAAATTCATTTTACAATATCCTAATTAAGTGTTCAATTATCAAAGGTCACCAGACATCTGCTGAGTCATGGGGTACTGGTCGTGCTGTTGCGCGTATTCCCCGTGTCCGCGGTGGTGGTACCCACAGGTCGGGTCAGGGTGCCTTTGGCAACATGTGTAGAGGAGGTCGCATGTTCGCCCCCACCAAGCCCTGGAGACGCTGGCACCGTCGTGTCAATGTCAACCAGAAGAGGTACGCCGTTGTCTCGGCTATCGCCGCTTCAGGAGTACCTGCTCTTGTACTATCAAAAGGTAATCATCTCTACATATTACTTCAAACGTACAAAAAAGTCGATAATCAGACTTATACGCAAATTTATATTTGTAATAACTTACGACTCTTTTAAATTTAACAGGACACATGATCCAAGATGTACCGGAATTCCCTCTGGTAGTATCCGATAAAATCCAGGAATACAAGAAGACCAAGCAAGCAGTTATCTTTTTAAGACGCATTAAGGCTTGGAATGACATCCAAAAGGTAAACATTTTTTGATTTAGTAAAAATCTCTAGATTTCATTTACTTTCATGGTATCTTGTGAAATTAACGCACTGCTGCCATATCATTGCTCTTCTAAAGATTATTAAGCACTGTAGCAAATGTCCTCAATCTTGTGATTATTCATTTGATTGATCCATCAGGTGCTAGAGAAATTAGATGAACAGGCGTTTTTGTTTTATGAAATTGCATGAAATAGAGACATGTTTATCTCACACTTAATCTTCATCATTTTTTCCGTATTTGTTTTTTTCCTTTGAGAAATACCAAACCATTTTTATTTTTATTCTTCAGGTATACAAGTCCCAGCGATTCCGTGCTGGTAAAGGTAAAATGCGTAATCGTCGACGCATTCAGCGCCGTGGACCTTTGATTATCTATGGCAAAGATCAGGTATAATAATTTTTATTCTACTTGATTGATTTGAATTTGAAAATATCAATTAATGATGAATCAAATTTTGGTCTGTGTTTCTGATATATTGTTGATTACAAACATAAACTTTCTGATATAAAAAAAAAAAAAATTGCATCAATTTATTTGTTTGTAAGAAACAAAAGATTTAATGGAAGAATTATTACAGGGCATCCGTAAAGCGTTCCGTAACATTCCTGGCGTTGATTTGATGAACATCAACAAAATCAACCTTCTGAAACTGGCTCCTGGTGGTCATGTTGGACGTTTTGTCATCTGGACCAAGTGCGCTTTTGAGAAGCTCGATGCACTCTATGGAACTTGGCGTAAAGAAGCCAAGCTGAAAAAAGGCTACAATCTCCCCATGCCCAAGATGGCAAACACCGATCTTTCCAAGCTTCTTAAGTCCGATGAAATCCGTAAAGTCCTCCGCAGACCACAGTACGTATATTTTATCTCTAGTTACGGAACTCTTAAAACTTACACCATAAATGATGATATGCTTTGGTCCGTGTTTATGATTAACATTGATTTTAGAACAAAGCGTTTACTGATGTGCTACAACGAAAAAAAGTATGGCTTTTTTTTTCATACTTTGCCAGAAATAGCTCACACGTGACTTAAGATTGCAAAGTTCAGAGCTCACCAACATACTATTTTTTGTTGGAACCATGGTGTTTGCTTAGAACAGTCAACTCGTTTGTTACTCTAACTTCCTATTAAAATTTTCTTTCCATGATTTATTTACAGGAGAAAGATTGCCCGAAGAATTAAAAAGCTCAATCCTCTCACCAACACCAGAGCTATGCTCAGGCTTAATCCGTACACCGCTGTGACGAGGCGCGCAGCTATTCTGACCGCTCGAAGACGTCAATTCGAAAAAGAGATTGCTTTGGCAGCCAAGAGAGGGGTATGCGATTGATTAGATTACTTGTTAACAACTTTTTAAAAATTAAATAAACTAAATAACGCAATTATTTTAGCTCCCACTGTCGCCAGCGGCAAAGCAATTCAAAGAAACCAAGGAAAAGAGAGAGAAGGCTCTTAAGAAGAACAAAGAGACAGCCGTGAAAAAGGTGAAGAAACCTAAAGTGAAAACAGTTAAACCTGCGGCAAAACCGGCAACGGAAAAACCGAAGGCTAAAAAAACAGCACAAAAAAAGGTTGAAAAAGTCGAGAAGCCTGCCAAGTAAAAAGATTGTTGTGTTGTGACTTTCAATTAAGATCATTAATAAAATGAGAAAAAAAACAACACGAAAAGTTATACCATTTTCCTTTTGTGCCAGCCTGTTTATCCCTTCACCTTTACTTTTCTGTAAATATAGAAATAAAATAAGTTAATCTAAACACACACTGTCGAATTCTTCCAAGTCTCAATTTCATTGCGACTTTATTGTAGCTAAACATTCGTTACGGTTCTTGTCAGACATTATCAAATTCTGAAATCTCCCGTTTCCAAAACTGTTTCTGTGCACAGATACCTATTTAAAGGAATGCTTCTGCGCGCGTCCCTGCAAATACGACTGTAGTATTGGGGAGAAGACGGGGATGAAAACGGCGGGCGGGCTGGCAGTTGGAGGCGCAGAGCCGGATATGTCGCGCTTGGCGTCGGTTCTCCGATGCGGACTCGTCGGACTTGTGCTTTTTCGTCTCGGTGAGGATACTTCATTTGAACAGTTTTTTGCGTAAATGATGTAGCGTTGATAAAGTAATACGTTTTTACACTGAAAGTAAGGGTGTGGTACTAAACATAATTTTTTTTTGCAATTTCTCAGTTTCATTGTAAAAAAGTGTTGCAAATATAAATAATCTAGTCGACAAGTTTGGGATTATTTAAATTTAATTTGCACGTGCATTTAGTTGAAACATTGTTTTTTTTTGCTGTAACATCGACTTTGTAAAATTTCAATCTGCTGCAATCGCAAAAACCTGTCAAGATCCATTAGAGTAAAAGCCCGAGATTTAGTTGTTGCGGGGAATTAAATGGCATCGGATTCGGACACACAGTGCCTGATGCGTCCTCACGGATCTCATTGTGCCCGAAGGTCCATACGTACGTGTCAAAGGAGCGAGTGTAGAGGAATGAAAAAAAAAAAATCGGCTCTTTCTCTCTGAAGTTTTTTTTTAGAAAAGCTTCGATTGTATCTTTCGTAAGACATCGGGGAAATAAGTGCAAAGTAACGAACTTTTGATGCTCGTTTGTGTACAACTAAAATAACAAATTACTATCTTTTAGAAAATATCGATCGGAAAACGTTATTTTTTCGAAATTAAAAAAATACTCATTAGCATATTATATTGCAGGTATACATGGTGATCAAAATAATAAAGTGATGCTTCATACACACGTACATTTGAGGCAGGGCTACTGAACAACACACCTAAGCTCGGGATATCTCGTTAACTATCCCGATTTTTGCGAAATAGTCATTTTAACTATTCTGCGTCGCCAAACAAAGAAAAATCTCGTTTAATTTGTTTTGCAAACCGATAAACATACATATTTATCGTAACCAGAGTAATAATACTTGAGGCAAAACATAAATAAAAACCTCCAAAGTCGAGTGTTTCGCTGTTGTACAATAAGGTCAAAACTTTGTCAGCCCAAAAAACAACGAGAGTTCGCACATCACAGGATATAGCTAGTGTTTTTTTTTTTTTTTTTTTTATATTAGAGTGTACTGACTTTAGATATCTATAGTATATGATATACATAATCCATAGTCATCTCTAACGTACGGGTACCACATACCCTACAACGTACGGTGCACGTCGTGTCTTCCAATGGAGCATTTACACGTTATGCATATAAGTTACGCGCGCCCTGTCGGAGCGATTAAGTATACGTGGTATTAATACGAGCGGAGCAAGTGCATGTTGTGCGATCGACGATGCGCCCCGCGCGTGCATATTACGGACTCTATCTCTCTCTCTCTCTCTCTCTCTCTCTCTCTCTTCCCGTATATCTGATGATTTACATGTTGGGGTGTATGTGCACGCGTCGATGAGCTCCGCTTGGAAAATTAACGCGGCGTTAAATCACACGGTGATTATCGGCCGTACGCATCTCGGTGACGCGTTATACCCCCCGCTTGAGCGCCGATTTTCTACTCGAGCATGTACACACGTGGCATCCGATCAATCATGCGCGACGATTAATCAACGCTGATAGCGATCGGTTGAGCCGTTGTGCAAATAAACATTTTTAAAAACCCGAAATCGGGTAAGCGATCGGTATGTATATTAACTCTAACGCGAGCGAGAAACAATTTGCCATACCCGTTGAAACGAAAGGGCGGATTGCAGCAAAATCAAAGCAATGATATTGGGAGATCGGTAGGTATATATATATACTTGTGACAAAATCCAAGGGAAGGGGATTACGTATCGCTCGATTACAGTCCTTTTCCCCGTGTTCCCATGAATATAATAGTACATATAGGTATGCGCGCTCGTGTTCAACAGAGTATAGCGATGATGATAGCCAGTTCTGATTAGCGTATATTATAGAGCGGAGGGTGAAATAAACACACGGGTGAGATCAAATGAAAATTTGCGCTAAGGTATTATATGTATATACTTATACTGCTGATGAGTAAAGCGCGTTGTACACGATGCGCACGTAATTGAACTCTAATGGACATAATTTAAGCGGCTTTTGTGCACGTATATTTTACGGCTGAGAAGTGGAAGCAGTCGGGTTTGATCGGACATCGATTGAAAAGGGGGGGGGGGGATATACACGCGGAGTGGCTTTTGCTCACTTATTGTTTCCGATGTTTTTTTTTTTTTTTTTTTTGCTTTTTCAATACACTCGTGGACTTACCAATGTGGCTGCTTCTGGCTTGCAGAAAGTTTTATGTTACTTCTGTCGAAAAGTAATACCGATACCGTATGATTACGTTGCCGATAAGGAAAAATGGATTTCTATCTTACATGAAAAAAAAAAAAAAAAAAAAGAAGAGAGGTACAAGTGTAACAGATTCCACGCTGTTCGGGCGAAAAGTTTTCGTTGAAAGTTCGATTAAACTTCGGGGTGTTGAAATTGCTTTTTGATGAAAAAAAAAAAAAAAAAAGAAAAAAGAAGAACCTTGTGGCGCAAATATCGAGTTCTTGACTGTAGTTGTTATGATTGTTGTTGTTGTTGTTGTTTTTTTCTTGTTCCTCGCAGGTTTCTGCGACGAGAACGAGTACAGGCTGACCAAGCACCTGCTGGACGGCTACGACGCGGGAGTGAGGCCGGCGAAAAATTCATCCGAGCCGCTCGTCGTCGCCTTTGGCCTGGCCCTCCATCATATCATCGACGTGGTGAGGAAGCCCCAAGCGCATCTTTTTAAATTTCATATTTATTTTCATCCTACCTGCTGTGCGGTTTATCGAATTCCAATTATTTCAATACACGTGGCAGAGCACGAAGGTTTTTTTTTTTTTATCGGTATGTACACTGATTAGCCCCTTTTTTCATCGCATCAACGAAAAGTTTAAAACTCCACCTGATTATAACGATCGGGGATCGATTTGCGATTGATACACGTACATTCGTTTTTACATCACTTCGAGACCATTAAATTCGTTTGACTCGTTCGTGCTCCCTTCCAGACTCAACAAAATTAATCCATCGACGTAAATATGCGTACAACGCCTCATGCTCAAGCAAATCATACTTTCGAAACTCGTGCACTTGTCGAGCTCTAATTTAAAAAAAAAAAAAAACTTGCAAAACTTTCGTATATACCTAACCGATGCATGTACACACACCTATACTCACTTCGATGCACAAATCTAATTGCACACTTGGCCAAATAAGCATCTAAAACAGTAATTCAACAATTTCAAGAACAATCGTACGGGTACCCAATCTCTCTCGAGTCGTACACGTATAGAGTGGCACTGTGCTCGTAACTTTCGCGTGCAACCCACAAATCACGCCAGAACCTATTAGCGCGTGTATATTATGAGGCACAACAACAACAACAGCGACGACGACGACGACGACGACGACGACGACGAGTAGGTGTACGTGTTCTGAATGTGACCAACTATATGAGTTTCAAAGTGCGCATCTTGGAACACACCCACCCCCTCCCCCTCTCTCGGATTAATTAAAATCATGCCAAATTTATGCACGCGAAAATCGTCATCGCCTACCTCCTTTCACGTTGAAACAGCCAAATGACACGTGCTCTTCCAAATAAAGTATAGTATCCGGGCGCGAAGAAAATCTTTGGAAAAGTGTAGAAGGAAAAGCTCGGGTGGTGTTAAACGACGTCTCGATGGCGAATCAAAACTTGTATGTGTATTATATTATACGTCCAAGGGTGCGCCTGTCCCGGGAGAGACGACGGAACAACGCAACGCAACGTCCCGTTGGTACAAAGTGCGTGAGAGAGAGGGAGAGGGGGTGTATGTATATATATATGCCTCTTATATACACCTACGGCAGCTATAACGCGGGATTAATAGCCAACACGGGGCCGATGTTTGCTAATGGCCGGCGAGGGGATTAGAAAAATTGTTAGGTGCTTGGGCGTGTCATCAGTGGTTTTAGTTTCTTCCAGGGGCGGGGGGGGGGGGCAGAATGAGGGGGTACATACATATAAATTTCGCGAGGGGGTACAAACGACTTGTTTACCTTTAGGGGCATATATGTTGATCAAATGACAATGTGCGTGATTCAAAAAAAAAAAAAAAAAACTCTCTTTTGGCGTGCCGATCAAATGAAAAATCGTTATTTACAACGACTTTTGTTCATTATACGCCTTATACTGTACAAGCTGGTGATATTCCTCGGTGAATAATAAGTACAATAAATTGGGCACGAACGAAACAGTCAAGTTCCTCGTGTCATTTTTAGTGATGCGCGTGTGCGGTGAAACGGATCGTATATATATATATATATGTGTAAGTAGATGCCTGTTGGGTGATATATAGCTCTTGGTCCTCTCAGAGCCGTGACTGTCCCTGGATCCCTTGGCCGCGGAATTTCATTATCTGTTTTCGAAACTTTTGTGTACCTATACATATACCCACGTGTAGTACGTGTATGCGCGATGCATCAGAAATCCCAGTGCATGGGCTACACGTACATAATATACGTATACATGGTATATATTGTATAAGACCAAAAGAGCAGAACTTTTGTGTAAAAGATGCATATACTTAATATTATATATGTGGTAGACAAAAGGCCAAAGTGTTTGAAAAATCGCACCTTTTTTTTATGGCCACAGTCGGTAGCTGTGCGACATCACGTCTCGTCTGTTCGTACCTCCTCGTTTTGTTTTATACTTGCACGTGTGTGATTTGCTATTAAATTTGCTTTCTCCTCCCACTTTTTTTTTTTTTTTTTTTTTTAACAATGTTCTCGAGTTTAAAATTCAACCTCCTGTGACTCTATAACTTTACTTTTTTTTCCACCGAGCTTACGATAAACACCAGAATACAATATTATGGTCTATTGGAATTTTTCGTGACAAATGCTTACACCGTTTTTATAGGAATAAAAAGAAGTGTTGCGTAAAAGCGAGATTTTCCGAAAGCAGACGGTAGCCGCTTGTAATTAGAATGGCACTAAATGGCACTAAACTAAATTGGTCCTACCTCGTTGGTTGATTTCAATTTGCTTATATAGAAGCGAGTCGACGAGTACACAAGAGACAGAGAGAGAGAGAGAGAGAGAGAGTGTACAGCTGAAACAATGAGTCGTTGAAATTGTCCTGGAAATCGTCCTGGAACGAACGCCATCTTTTTTGTCACATCCGAGCTCGAAAAAAAATTACAAGAAAGGGTTAAGCAAAATCAAGTATCCTTCAACGCTATAACTCATTTTTCCAGTGTATCGTTATAATTATCATCGGCGCACGTACATACAGGTATACGCGTTCTTTTTTCCAAAGGACCCTCCTCTTTTCTCTTCCCTGATTTTATAAGAATACTTATAGATGTATAAGAATCAGTCACCTCCTCCCCCCATACATACGCTCGAGTTGGGCTAGAGAAATCTTCTTGGTCCTAAATACCTATAATGGCGTAGATTTCTACTGTGCGATTGTATGATTGTTTGTTCAACAGGACGAAAAGAATCAAATACTGACGACAAATTGCTGGCTGACCCAAGTCTGGAAGGATTACCACCTGCAATGGAACACGTCAGAGTACGCGGGTATACGCGTCATACGCGTGCCTTACAATCGCGTTTGGCGGCCAGATACGATATTGTACAATAAGTAAGTTTTTTTTTTTTCCTTTCGTTTGACAAATTGAATTGGACCTTTTTTTTTGTTGCTTTGTTTGTCACTTCCAAGGAGTACCTGCGCAAGAGTAACGACGTTAGAGTTTGAGTAATGATACCTTCGCAGAGACAGATGCGCTGAAAAGAAGCTTTCCAAACGATCCTTCAATTACTGTAATTAAATTAACGAAAACAAAAAGAGAGAAATGCTCACCATCCCCTGTTGTGCAAGTATACGGCTTTGGAGATCGAATTAGTAGGTACTCCCGATTGCCGACGACTATTACTCGAACAATTTTTTTATTTAATTTATTCCGTGATCAAAAATATTTGTTTTTTTTTTCTGTTCTACAATTGAGACAAAAAAAAAAAAATTTTTTTTTTTTTCATACAGATACGAGATAAAATAAAATTTACCATTCGGCATGAAAAACTGTTTCGGGGAGGAGGGAGAAATAAAAGTGAAACTACGTCGTCGAGTCGAAAAAAAAGTGCTTTACGCTCCAGTAGATAACGGCGGGATTTAGTAAGACGCGAAAATATCGTCTATACTCTTTTACGGAAACCACAGTCGGACTTTATGATCTTTTTTTTTCTTTCATTTTTTTATTATTTTTTTTTTTTTACTCGCGTATTATATACACATACATATACGAGTACAAGCGTGGAAGCGTATAAAAATCGAACGTAAAGATAAACGACGGCTCGTCGTAAAAGTATAAATAATATTAGAAATCGAATTTCGTGATGGGCAACTTTGTCCTCATAATCAGCCGAATCGATGAGTCTCGACTCGAGTGTATACTTGTAACTTTGGAAAACTTTTCTCCGATGAAGACCAGGAAAAAAAAACAATTTTTTTGTTTTTTTGTTCGAAAACTGTTGTCAAAAAATTTCAAGACAATAGTCCTCGAATTTAAATCCAAGTGTACTCTTTTTTTTGCCAGTCACGCGCTTTTAAAGGGAAAATCTCGGCTCCGGGTGCTTTAAGCGCCACGTTCTCCTCGTCCAAGTACCGATTGTTATTTTCTCGCGTTTGTCCGAAAACGAGATCCGCGTGGTCTTTCCTAGACTCAGCGTCAACTCCATTCCAATTATGTCTACTGCGCGTTACTCCCGACGCAATTTAAACGGCATTCTCAACGAGTCGCGTTCGAACAAAGCTGCCGTTGTTTTTCAACCAAGTTTAACTCTCCATGGATGCACCATAGTGAACAAACAATCGTTGCAGCGCATCTCGTGAAGCGTATACAAGTAGCGCGGACACTTCGGTCCCCTCGGGTTCAAATTATTTTTTAAATTTAAATTTCTTCGTCCCTCGTAAGCTCCGCGTTAATCCGTAGGAAAAAAAAAAGAAGGTTTTTCCGGGAAACGCCGGCATTACACGCACGCGCATAGCTACGTGCACGTCTCTATGTACTTATACGTATACGGAGTGTAATAGCAGATCGCGAAAAGCACGAATTCCCCGTGAATTCTGAATCTCGGCCCTTGGACTCGGGCAGAGTCGTAATTAATATTGAACTAATGAAAAAGAAAAATAATTGGTTAGAACTGTGTTTGAAATTAAGTACAACAACATATTTTTTTCAAAACAATAATCATACGTATTAGTGTTGCGAGTTTATTTTATACCTACGAGTGAATGAATTTATGATAAAATATTTTCGTACAATGTAGATAATCAAACATTTTCAAACATATTATTTCAAATAAAATTCTTAAAATATACTAATGCACTTCGAATGATTATTTAATTTTTTTTAATTTAGTAATTTACATGGCTGCATAACGCAGTTGGAATTCAACTATTACAATGTAAACTAAATTTTAAGATAATTTAAAATCTCTTTATGCCCTGCATCTGCATTGTAGAACCATCGTTACCATTTTGTTTTTGTTGATAATAGTTGAAAAATAAAACGACCTACTTGCTCGGAAACGGGTTTGTCGTGTATACTTATGGTTTATTTAATCAAGGAGAGACCATTGACTGCTTTGAGCGAGGAAACGAAAAACAGTTGTTTTTAAACAGTGTTAATTGCAGCGCAGATCCCCAGTACAGCTCGGCGGTGATAAACACGAACGTGATAGTGAGCCACACGGGCGAGGTCGTTTGGCTGAGCCACGGGATTTTCCGCAGCAGCTGTGACATCGACGTCGAGTACTTTCCCTTCGACGAGCAGCGCTGCGTACTCAAATGGGCCTCTTGGACCTACGACGGCTACCAGGTGTGGCAAACAATAGTTTTCTTCATTTTGGTTGTTTTTTTTTTTTTTTTTCAATTCCTCCATTTTTCTTTCCCACCCACTGTAATTATTTTTCCACATTTTCCCGGCACACCCACGCGTGGTGGATTTTACAGTTGGAGCCGCGATGCGCGAGAAATGAAATTATTGTCGCCCGGCCCCCTCGATTGAATTGTCCACTTAGCGAGCTCGCCGGAATGAGAATCAAACCAACTCGCCACGCACCACCGAAGGATTAATCAATTAACGCGTACATCTCTCTCCCTTTTTTTTTTTTTTTTTTTCTTTTTTTTTTTTTTCATAGCCTGATCCACCCAGTTTTTTATTTTATCCTCCAGTGTTTCCGGCAATGATGGAAAACTCGCGACTATTTCGCATATGCTGTGTATAAGTATATACCGTTGAGCTCGATTATTTACCTAGCGAGACTTATTAATACATTTAACGCGCACCCCAGTTTTCCTACATCGCACGTAAAAGTATTAACGAGACGAAGGAGGAAAAAAAAAAAAAAAGGCCAAGTCGTTCCGTTCGGTAATTAATCCCCACGCGCTCGCGGTGTGTGACGCAAATGCCCGAGCGGGGGTGTACACGTGCAAAACTTCAATTGGACCAACTCGGCCCTTCGTTTAGCCCTCGGGAGCTACTTTACACGCGGTGGGGGAGGTGAATACTTGGTTAATCAAAGGCGCAACTCTTTGCGTTGCCGCGATGGCCACACGCATTCCTCCTACACACGCTCGTGCCAATGTGCATTTATTCTGTATATATATATACATACGTATGTCTACTCTCTATACTTTGTGGGTAACTAATTTGAGAGCCCATCGGAGAGAATTTTGAGTTCGAGGAATCTCAGTTGGTACGAAATTTTCGTGTTTGCCGGGTGACTGAGATTTTTTTTCTTTTTGCTTTTGCTTCGGGGATAAATTAAAATTTTGAAGTTGAAATTTCGCGTAACGAGCAAATAATAATTACCGTCCAACGTGTCCTGACTCGTTTCAAAGGGGGAAAAAGGGTTATTTGAAGAGCTTTACGGTACAGCTTTCAATAGAAAAGGCGGAGCAAGGCAAGGGGAGAGGAAAAAGGGATTTTCTTTGATTTTTCAATTGCAAAAATTATTATTAAAAAAGAAAAATGGTATCACAAGTGTCGTAGTATACATGAGAAATGTGACTTTTCCCAGAGACAAGTGATGGGTTTTTTTTTTTTTTTTTTTAAAAAACATCCTCCATCTGAATAAGCAATACACCCAAAGAGGTATAGCATACAAGACTGTTAATAAAAAAAGACGCATCGTAGATATATTAGAAGATAGACCGAACCGGAGATTTATAATGGAGGGAGGAACAAATGCAGGAGACATTTGGACGTACATCACAAGCGAGAGTCATCCAATTGGTGTATAAAAAATGCTTTGGTACGGTTTTTTTCTTTTTTTTTTTCATTGCAGGTAACTTCTCGTTCTCGGCTGAGCATTAATTTACGTTTCTCGTAATCTACATAATATTGCGCAACAAATAACAAGCAATTTAACGCGATATTCAAGTATATAATTATTTGCACGGCAAAAGTCGTTCGAATAACTGATGCGTTGTACGTTTGCGTCTCGCTGTTTGAGCGATACTCGAGAGCCTTTGCGTAATCACGACTCGGCAGGGTTTCGCTGCGCCTCCTTTGCTGATAATGAGCCGGTGTAGTCCATTTTGTTATTTCGTTCCGTCCATCCGCCAACTCTTCCTGCAGAAGGACGTATGATTTAAAAAAAAGAAAAAAAAGAGGGAGAAACGCAAACAAAGGGAAGAGGTGCATTGAATGGGAGCGAGAAACTTGACGGAGGAGTTGAGAGGAAAGTTGGGCCGCGTGCGGCTTTACTTTTATCTCGATAAAATTGCGATTCTTGAAATAACGTGTGTGTTGCTCGTTGATTTGGGGGAGAAAAAAAACTTGGAGGATGAAACTCGCGAGATTTCTCAAAAAGCAGCGTTTGAATAAAGAAAAAGCCACGTGTAATAATTAATAATGTCATTTTTGAGAAAAACAGCTTGACATGGGTGGGAGTAAAAGGCGTTAAACTTCCATACACCTCGTGTCCCTCGGGAGATAGAGCCTCTGGCGCCGGGGGCTAGCGGCAAAAGCTCTCGCGCGCTTTTGCGGATTAAAATCTCTTTTGGGAAAACAAAGCTTTTAATTAAACGGGAGCTAACAAAAAATCATCTCGTCACAGCTTCGGCTTCTTTTTTTTTCCTCGCACCTTTGGACTGATGGTGCGTTTGTACGCGAAGGGAGATTTTTCGCCTCTCTCCTGCGCACAAAAGATCAATTACAGCAGATCGTATCCTTGGGAATAATTTTTTTTTTTTTTTTAACTGAGAATCGCTTTTGATGATGTTGCGAGCAATTGTTGGCAAATTTAACCAAAGCTCAGTCAATTAAAAAATATTGAATGTATGAAAAAAAAAAAAACCTATGAGATTACTTGCTGAACATTTTATTGTATTCAAGACATTTTTTATACTTACTTTGCATTACCAAGTTACCTTTTTAAGTTTAACTTCGCTAAAAAATTCAAATGTATTATAATTGGTTACAACAATATTATATTAAACATAATTAGCTCTATCGGTTGGTTTGTAAAATTTTGAATGAAAAACCTATGTGTGTAAATATCCTATCAAAGATCACACTCGATGGACTTTTCGTGCTAAAAAAAATTTCTCAATTTAGTAAAATTAAATGAATCGCTCTCAGTTAAAAAGCACTGAAAATAAAATAAAAAAAATCAACATGTCTCGAAACAAGTGTAATGTGTCATTTTGATGTGCATCATATACCCTCCGTAATGCTCCAAACATAAGACCATAAAAGCATGGTTTATTTGCATACACAACAATGGTTTGAAAAAAAAAAAAAAAAAAAAGACATTTTTGAGTATTTATATTTTCTATGAAAAACTTTTTTAATCCCAACACGCGATTCCACGAGCGAGTTCTTGTACAGTTTTTAAAAGTAACATCGGATAGCCGTTTGTTTTTTTTTTAACAAAAGTTATGGTCCACGGTATACGAGAGAAAGGAAAGTTTTCGCAGCATTTTTTTGTTACTTCTAATCTCGGATTACCCTGCCAGAGGTATAAAGTATCGTTTTGCACTCCAGAGGAATAACGATATATTTGTCGCGATTGTGTATACCTAATTAAACGAAATCCGAGACGATTTCCTTAGCCCTAAAAAAAACTTATGCCCCCCCCCCCGGTTAACGAGGATTCCCACCGATGCAGGGAACTTGGTTCGTTCGGTTCGTTGTTGATTATTCGCATACGCTTAAAACTTCCAAGTGCAAAGTGTGCGAGTTTCCGAAAAAAAAGAAAAAAAAAAAAAAAACCGTTCACGAGCTCAATAAGGAATATCGAGAAGCTTCAACTGGCCTTGGATCATTGAATATGTAACGCGCACGATTTATGTATACACACAGAAAATTCGTTGGCTTTGGATTGCGAAACTTGTAAAAGAGTACGCATAGTGTCGATAAACGAAAAAAAAAACCCTAGAGAAATTAATTTAGCTAACATACCACCGAGTGTATACTCTTTTTTTGTTCCTCCAGCATAAAAAGCAGACACGGCGAATTTTAGATGCCGAAACGAGTGTTCTCTCCGTGTTCATTACGTACGTGCGCGGAATAAAAGTGGCGTCCCTCGATTGTTCCGGGGGTGCGGAGCTCGGGCGGGTTCCAACGTTTCTCACCTCGAAATCAAACAAATGACCAATTAAACGATCGCGTTCCCAAAAAAATTTGTACAATATGTGCATACATTTTACACGTTTCAGTAGTATAGGTCGACGCATGGTCGGACACGCTATTGTTATCATGTTACATTATTTTCGTGCAAACAATACAAAATAGTAGCCGACCACGGAAAAAACTCGTCACGCGGAGAAATTTCAAAGCAAGAAACAAATGAGAGATTTAAAAAAAAAAAAAAATGAAAGTATACACTTATATGTACAGGAGTAATTATACATCAGTGATGCCGTAGACAGTGGTGCCTTAAGCTCAAAAGCGCGAATAAACAAACGAGACATCAAGTAACCGAGACGACCCCCGTTGGCCTTTATAATATACTTACACATATAGTATGTCGCGCACGTGCAAATATTCTATATATAAATTAACGTCACAGGAGATTTAGTAACACACCATTGCACTTTTATTGTTTGATGGAGTGGGGAGGGGAAGAAGCGCGAGTCTGTCACTGCACTCTGTGATGCAAATGTCGCGAGTATCATGTGGACCAACAAATGAAAAAGACAATAAAAAGTTATGGTTATACATTATATCGCGTCGAATCCCAATAGAGATTGTTGTACCGATTTTGCGTGTGATATATACAAAGAGAGGAGGGGGGGGGAGGAACAATGAAAATCCGAACAAACAAAGTTGGGTCAATGTTATGGGATATACTTGTGCGAAAATAATAAAATAAAATATTGTGCGTTGTTGCGTGAAAAAAAGCTGGAGCTCGAGAGGCAAAGCGAACAGGGCGACGTGAGTAATTACCAGGCCAACGGGGAATTCGACCTCGTGGACTTCTCGGCCACGCGCAACGTCCAGTTCTACTCGTGTTGCCCGGAACCATACCCGGACATCACCTACGAGATTCGGCTGCGCCGGCGGCCCATGTTCTACGTCTTCAACCTCATACTGCCCTGCATCCTCATCAACGGCATCGGTAAGCTGCCCCTTGTTGCTTCTTCTTCTTCTTCTTGTTATTTTTTATCATCATCATTCTTTTCCTTCGAAAGGGGGAGGGGGGAGAAACATGTATGTACTCTCTCTCTCTCTCGTAGGAGCTATATATGGTATTTTCAATTAAAAAAAAAAAAAAAAAAAAAAGGAAAAGGTGCTCTCATACATATTTAAAGTTTTGGAAAACAGCAGAGACGAAAGCGGGGGAGGAAAAAAAAAAAAACGGTCAAATCTTACAACCGAGAACACCCGTAATCGTAACGCTATGTATTCGTGGGTGTGCTTTTCCTCCCTCGGAGCGATAACTGCGCGGCCGACACAAATCGCTGATACCGTGCGCTCAACGGCCATTCGCATTTTGACCGAGGGAGAAAAGAAAAGGTAACTCGAGCGCTCTCCCCTTATACCCGTCCCATGGGAGAAATTTCGGATTTAGGGTGTATATGGGGGTACACACTCATTATCCGCGGCTGTAACACGTGCTTCCTTCCTTATACGTACATATTGTATACAGTACAGTATCTTTTTGTGTGTAGGGGGGGGGGGGGGCTGAAAAAAATAGAAAAAGTTAGGCCAGCGGATACGTGTACGAGGGAGGACAAAAAAAGCTTGATTTACAGTTTATAAAATCGCCCCGAACGGCAATTTGAATATTTAACGCGAGCGGAGTCTTTTTTTTTTTTTTTTTTTTCTACCGATGCTAAATCGGCCCCTGTGCGCAACCGAGCAAACCTCTGATGGACCTTGGGTGCCCTTTTTTTTCCTCCCCGTGGCTCGCATAACTCGTCCCGAACCGTAACTTTTCGCGAGAGCGTTTCCCTCGTTAAATCCGGAACACTTTTTTTTTTGCCGAGTGCACGCATTTTAGTTTCCCTCCGAACAAACACACGCGCGACGGCGCCCTGCTACTCTAATTATCCCAACTTCGCTGGTATACATGTATATTATATGTACACCTATACGTTTGCAATTGAATCAAAGGGACGAAAAAAAAAAAAAAAAACGGCTCTCGACCTTTCCTTTGCCCTCTGTGCCGTGTAGCAAATCACCATCCGTCCGAATCCAATTTTCTGCCCTACTCGCACTCGCGATGGTTGAAACACGCTCCCCTGACAAAAGGCAGATACCGCGTGTTACGCTGGCACTTCGAGGTGCACTTTGCTCCGAAGAGACAATGGCCACGGGGGCCGTCGAATAAAAGAAAGTAGCGAGAGACAGACCCCACGTATACCGTTAATAGAAGCGTGGAATAGGGGAGATTTTCAAGAGATCGGTACACACGGACGATCGGCTTGTGTAATTTCGACAATGACGCTATGTGTTGATTTACGAGTCTTCATGAATTAAAAAAGAAAAAAAAGGAAAACTGTTACTTGCGACGGAGTGACAATAAATCTCCGCGAAAAGTGAATCCTAATCCAGAAGGAGAGAGAGAGGCGATAAGTATGAAACGTACCCGGGGCTGGTGAAACATGGCCCGAGAGCTTTAAACCTCGAGTTTCCAACTGCGTCCGGATCCGCTTGACGAGAGAGGAAGAGATATAAAGTTCGAAAGTCGCGTTCCGTACGGTTACGAAAAATAAAATGGCACCTTTTTTCTTCTGTTTGGGGAAAAAAAAAAAAAAAAACGTGTATGTACAGCCCTGCTGGTGTTTTACGTGCCCTCGGAGTCCGGTGAGAAGGTCACCCTCGGCATATCCGCCCTTCTGTCGATGACCGTTTTTCTGATGACCATCAGGGAAACCTTGCCACCCACGGAGAAGACGCCGCTTATCAGTAAGTGCCATTTTTTTATCTTTTACTCAAGTCTAAATGCTCCGTGAAACATCAAATTCAAATAATTCGTATACATACACGTATATACTTAAATCCGATGTAGTCTCGGATGTAATATGTATCCGTGTAAAAGTTATAGGGATACTGCACGCTTACACGCATAAATATATGTACAGCCATAGCCAAAAGCAAGGCGCGCGCGTTCAACTTTTAAATAAGCTGGAAGCTGTATAACGTCATAACTTTGCGCAAAAGTGTGGCAAAGAGTTTCCTCCGGCGGATCCGTGTGCGTGTGTGTGTATAGTGCACCCACCTTTGGACCGTATTTTCACGGAGTTACCACCATCGCCAGTAATACTACTACTACTACTAATTATAATGATGACAAGTTACTATTATGATCATACACATATATATGTATGTAATTATTCTGATAAAGTTGCCGTTGTGGGGCGCGCTTTCGGGCTTGTTATCAAACTTGGGTGAGCGCGTCTGTCTGCCACGACCGGGAGAGGGGAAAATCAAAGTGTAGGCATACATTAGACAATTGTAAGTATAGGTACGCGCGGATGACGCGCGAAGAATTTTAATAAATACGCATCATTATGTACGATGAAGTTTGAAGTTGGTATATAGCTGCACTACGTGTGTGATGTATGCACACGCATGTACCTACTATGTAATATGTACATTTTATTTTCTACGCTCATCATTTTCGTTTGATTCCGTATGTTGTGTAAACGCAGGTCTGTACTACGGAGTGAGCATTTGCCTGGTGTCGTTCGCCTCGGGTCTAGCCGTGGTCACCCTGAACCTGCACCACCGAGGCGTTCGCGGAACTCGGGTACCGCCCAGCGTCAAGTCGCTCGTGCTCGACAAACTCGCCAAAATAGTGTTTCTCAACTTCCGGGAGGTAAGAAGATCATATATATATATATATATATATATATATATGTATACATATATGCATTGATTGACGGATCGAAAGAATTTTGCGCGAGCCATTCATCCGTTGTCAGGGATTAATTTTTTTTTTTTTTTTTTTTTTTTCTCTTGCTACGCATAAAACGTCAAACAATCGATTGTGTACAATACATCCCCGTCCGGTCGCCTCATGTTGTTGCGACGAGGGATTATATACAGTTGGCTTGAAAAATCAAAAGAAACGTATAACCGTCAAAGCGGAAGCAGCGCGGAGGTGAAAAGAGAGAGAGAGAGAGAAAAAAAGAAATGTCCAATGTAACAGAGGCGCGGTAAAATATATAGTGCTGGTATTAATGGAATGGCGCGGGGATTAATTGCCGATAAAACGCCAAGAGCAACGAAGCCAAAAAGGATCATTACACATATATATATATGATATACGTGTGCACAAGCGCGATTTATAAACGTCCGGGCCATTTAACGTGCGGGTGATGCACGCACGCGGGATTACATTCACACCCACGACGACCCTCTTTTTTTGTCTCTCTCTCTCTTATCCTCCGATTGCCTCTCCGTACAGTTCAGGTGGCACATATTCTAATGGACCGGCGAAATGAATCACAGATGGGGTGGGGGAAGATTAATTTAAACTGGAAATTCGCAGGAGCTTCCGGAATCGGTGAGCTGCAAGAGAAGCAGTTACACGTTTCACTGCAAGTCCGAGTCGTCGCCGAATCAGCAGCAGCCGCAGCCGCAACAACAGCAGTCGCAACACGTGCTGTCCCCGAAATACGTCGGGCGAAGACACACGAGCGATCACAACAGTCCGACCCTGGGTTCGTTTCACATGCTATCGCTATTATCATGTACACAATATCGTATCATTTTGTTCTCTCGGTGATATTTCATGCAAACGGAGTTTATCAAATTATAGATTTTTTTTTTTTTTTTATACAACAATGCATACATACATATATCTTGACTATAAGTACATATGCAACTTTCAAGAGAAATAATCATATGTTATATTATGCACGCGACTTTAAACAAGTTTTGCTCTCGGTAAAATAACACGTAGCTCGTGGCGGGCTTGGTATATATTATAAGTATAAAACTTGTATAAAACTGCTGCTTTGCAACGAAACTCGGGCGTTATAACTTTTGCCCCAAAGCTTTTTACATTCAGAAAGATGAAAACAAGCTTATGATATAATACTACGCCGAGAAAAGGTGTACATGTAGAGCAACTTTTCTCTTTCGTTGTACAGTACAGTGCCGGAGATTCTACTACTCGTATAACGTTTGCTAAAAAAAAAAAAATAAATAATAATAATAATAATAATAAATAAAATTTATTTTGTTATGATATTGCAGAACTGGGCAAGGATGGGGTGATAGAGTCGCAGTGGGCGAAGGTGATCGGCCGAGTGCAGGCGACGATCGAGAAGAACGAGAGACGATTGCTGGACCAGGACACCCGTGAGAGGCGGGAACTCGAGTGGAAACAGGTGGCCTTGGTTAGCGACCGAGCGCTCCTCTGCATATTCTTTCTGACGACCGCCGTCAGTACGGCTGTCATACTTTGCGGCTCGCCACCCTCGGATGGCAAAACGGCGATTTGAGCGACGAGTATGCGTCATACGGGTTAATTGAGTCTCGAGTCAATATGGTGTCTAATTCACTGCGAGCAAGGATTTTTAATCGTTTTGATGTAGGTTAATGAGTCCTAGTTGGCAGGTTTTGGTCTTTCGAGTATACGTGTGTAGGAAATAATGCTTTGATGATCTGATTCCAAAGTTGTTGAAGAAAAAAAAAAAAAAAATATGAATAGGCCCGAAATTCTGTTGCTATGAAGTCAATAAAGTTTTGTCGTTTCATTGAATATGAGAGGATGTCAGATTATAAATAATAAAGCGTTAAATTCTTTTTGTTTAATGCAAGTATTTGGTCCCTTAGTTTTAAGAATACACGGTTCTTATTCATATTTTTATAAATATACATTTCAATTTTTAAGTTGCGTACGAATTTTAAAGCTATTGAATTGACAAATTTGAATATATCAATCGTATTTTTTTTTTTTTTTTTTTTTTTTTTTTTTTTTTTTTTTTTTTTTTTTTTTTTTTTTCGTTATTCTAATAATAATCTGGTACTGGTGCGCAAGCTATTTTTACAAAATCCTCGTACTTTACTTGTCCATTCAGAGAAACATTAGCTTCTCTAAAAATTTGTTCCACTGAAAACAAGTATTGTTGTTACATGTAGAAATACATTCTGTGTAACTGTTCTTTTATTAAATCATGTGTGACATTGAAATTAAATCTGCTTACCTTCTTTATTGCTCAACTGTTCCCCCCACCTCAACAACATGTGAGCTAACTGTCTGGCAGGAATGGTTCCTGATCTCGTGCTGTCTGCTGCTCTAAAAGCTTCTATTACCTCCTTTGGGAGATCTTCTATCCTGGTTTGTAAATGCATTGCTTCCAAAAAATCAGCAAACGTCATTTTTCCACCTTTGTCCTTTAAATACTTATTTAACTCGGCTATTGTTGGACTGAGCCCCAACGATCTCATAATAATAGTTAGTTCATCCAATGTGCGTATCTGACCACTCCTAGCGTATAGATAAAAACACTCTCTAAACTCTGAAACAAAGATAATGAAAATATTATAGCAATGCTCGAACTTTTCGGTCTGTTGCACATAGAGGTTGAGAATATAATAAATAACTATCCACCATGAAATAAATGAATTGTTTGAAGATGTACAAACTTTTACGTACCATCAATGTCTTCCTCACGGAAATAACGAGCCTGCAAAAATAAAAATTGTGCATTTAATTATTATTACTATATACCATTTAACAATTGCCTTAAATATAATTAATGAATTTGAAACAAAAAATAGGGTGTTACTTACCATGTGTGAACGGTGTATATTTAATAATGATAAGAGTTTTACATTAAGCAAGATACGATTTTATTTGTATGCACAGAAAAACATAATTAAACACCTGTTGACGTATACTGCAGAGACAGAGTGTTTAGTCGTCAAACCCAAACATATCAAGCTCTGGGCTGTAGTGGAGGCCGTTTAATTCGTTGAGCGGGAAATTAAAACATTCAATTCCCATTGGCTGATTCGATCACATAACCTCTTTCATTGGTCAATTTCACACTTCCCGCTCAACGAATTAAACAGCCTCCACTGTACTTATATTCCACAAATGCTGCCAGCAGGTTAAGTTGCGTAGGTTTGTGGTAACGCCGCATGATCGGGCGGCGCTACTGCTCGGTCTCTCGGACCGACTCGACTCTCATCGACCGATCGACGAGTCTCTCGCATGTCAACAAACTCCGAAATATCATATCGGTGTAGCATGGGAGTCAAAACAGCAAAAAATAATATTTGCCAGAATCTCTGGCGTTTACCGGGTTGTTGAAGTTTTTGGCATTTTGAAATTATTCTCCTTCAATATGTACAAAAAACACTTTTTAACATACAAGTTTATTAGTATGGACAATTTCGGTAATCTCGCTCTGAGCCGGTTTGAGCCATACCCGCGTCTAATCAAAGCAGGTACGTTCTCACACGTAGACAAGGGCTGTTGGTAATATAAAAAGGATATATACATGTATACGTAAAATATGCGCTACTTGCAGTCTTCTAGACTCCCTTGACTTTGTCTACCCTTCGCATGACATTGTCGCTGCCTCGTTCACTAACAGTTTTGTGTTTTAATCAGACTCGGTGGACTACACTCTCGTCGATCTTCCGTTGTAGACACTTTCCGTGGCATTTGTTCTTTCAAAGCCGTGCTTGCTTGGCACAGTTGAATCCTGTGACGTTAAGTAGAACCATGGCTCTAAACAAGCTCAGCATTGACAAGGTCGACCTCGCCGGCAAGAGAGTCTTGATGAGGTAAATCAACATATCTGACTGTGACATTTTGTACATTGGATTTTATTGTTTCACACGATTTTAAATTTTAAGCTTAATTCGCCTATTACATTCAAAAAAAAAAATCTTGGATGTATTTATAAGATTAAATCAATTAAATTGTTTGTCCTCTTTTTAGGACTGGAAAAAAATCGTAATCACTTGATGGTTGTAATCAATTATCAATTTGAAAATTTTCTTAGAGTATTTTTCATCAAAATGTCGTTTTTCCATAAAACATTGTAATTTATCAATTTCAAATAAATATACAATACATTTTATTGCAGAGTGGATTTCAATGTACCTTTAAAAGATGGTAAAATTACTAACAACCAAAGAATCACTGCAGCCCTTGATACTGTTAAATATGCTTTGGACAAAAAAGCCAAGTCTATTGTCTTGATGTCTCATTTGGGGAGACCCGATGGCAGCAAAAATCTCAAATATACCTTAAAACCAGTGGTTGACGAATTGAAGTCGCTTTTAGGGAAAGACATAATATTCTTGGATGATTGTGTGGGACCTGCTGTTGAGGCTGCTTGTGCTGATCCAGCACCTGGATCAATCATTCTTTTGGAAAATTTGAGATTTCATGTTGAAGAGGAAGGCAAAGGTGTCGGCCCTGATGGTAGTAAGGTATGCACAATGTTTTTGCATTATTTTTTTATCATTTAAGTGTATAAAATTATTTGTATTGGGTTTATTGCGACTTTTTTAGATTAAAGCAGATAAAGATAAGGTCACGGAATTCAGAGCATCTCTGAGGAAACTTGGAGATGTGTACATTAATGATGCCTTTGGTACTGCTCACAGAGCCCACAGTTCGATGATGGGTGATGGTTTTGATATTAGGGCCAGTGGTTTCTTGCTTAAAAAAGAGTTGCAATACTTTGCTAAGGCTTTGGATAATCCAGAAAAACCATTCCTCGCCATCCTTGGTGGAGCCAAGGTTGCAGACAAAATCCAACTGATCAATAATTTGTTAGATAAAGTTCATGAAATGATTATTGGTGGAGGCATGGCTTACACATTTTTAAAAGTTACCAAAAATATGAAGGTAATTGTTGCATCAAAAAAAATTTTCCTTATAACGAAATTCTTGAATAAGTTTGTACTTATTTCTAGATTGGCAATTCTTTGTTTGATGAGGAAGGTGCTAAGATTGTTAACGATTTGTTGGCTAAGGCAGAAAAAAACAAAGTTCAGATTCATTTGCCGATAGATTTTGTTACAGCAGATAAGTTTGCTGAAGATGCAGCAGTTGGAGCTGCTGATATTGAAAGTGGCATTCCAGATGGTTGGATGGGTCTTGATGTGGGACCAAAGTCAAGGGAATTGTTTTCAGGTGAGGTGGAGTTTGGAAAAAAATTTTACCTGTCTGCTTGTAAAAAAATACCGTTTATTAAAAATCAACGTCAGATAAAAATTTCACAAAAACAACAAAACATTTCTAAAAAATCCATTAACTCAAATTAATTGATTATAGAGCCAATCAAGCGAGCCAAAGTCATTGTCTGGAATGGTCCAGCTGGAGTCTTTGAATTTGATAACTTTAACAAAGGAACAAAGACTCTAATGGACAATGTCGTTGAAGCAACGAAACGGGGTGCTACAACGATTATCGGAGGAGGTGACACTGCAACTTGTGCGGCAAAATGGAAAACTGAAGACCAAGTTAGCCATGTCAGTACTGGTGGAGGTGCAAGTTTGGAACTATTGGAGGGCAAAGAATTGCCTGGTGTAGCAGCACTTTCCCCAGCATAAAAGTATTGTATTCGACTTGGGTGGCTCAATGACAATAGCCAACGTTACAGAAATGTAAAATATTTATTGAATGCGTTATTCGTAATGTAAAATTTAGATTTCACTTTTTTTTAAAGTCGTTAGATTATATCTGCTGAAAATAAATAATAACATGCATCACTGTTATCAGTTGCATTTCATACTTTAAAAAATGTCTTCCAAACATTCCAGCCACTTACTTTTTATTGTACTACGTTAACACTGATAAAAATTGTGTCAAAAATATATTTGAGCTTTTTTGTGCAAAGCAATTATATATGACCTTTTGACACAGTATTGACTAATAATGTGTCCATGCACAAAAATTTTTCTTTATTTGCAAAAACCAATTTTCAAGCATATATTTTCTTTCACATAACGGAGCAGTTATTGGATTCGTCACTTCCAGGCAAAGCAGGTGTTCCAAGAGGATTGCCTTCAGCATCTAATTGAAAAAGTGGTTGTTGGTCACCAACTAAATCATCTGGAGGTTGACCATACGCTTGCATTTCTTGCATTAGTGATAGGGTTTTTTCAAATCGCTGCCTCTTAACTTCTTCAGAATCGTCTTCTTTTTCTTCTTCCAACTCTTTACAGACCTGTGTGCATTGTTCAAATAGTTAATTTGGTTTAATTAGCAAAGAAAAAATAAAATTTTTTTTTTCTAACCCTTACATTTTGCATGAGTTCAAATTGTTTCTCATATCTTGTAAAATCTGCAGGTGATAAAGTTGATTTCTTTTCATCTAACCATGCAGGATATTTGTCAATGATGTCTTTTAGAGAAGGATAAAGGACGTCTTTGGATAATAGAGATTGCATCATTCCTTGCATGAATGGCAATAAATCTGTGCCACCTTCTTCTAACGACGTTTGACCAAACATAGCTGCTAAATCAGATTCAGTAATATTTGGCACATTCTAAAATAGAAAAAAAAATTGTTTGAGTGGGATTATGTATGTTGAAAATTTTTTGAGTTTGCATAATAAAATATTTAAAAACTGTACTTACACCTAAATTTTCAGATGTTGCTGATAAGTCTTTTAAAGCTTGGCTAATTGCGGATTGAAAATTTGGAGTAGATGCCTCTCCAGTACCATCAGAGAGAGCACCAGCTACAGTTTGGGCCATTTTTTTGAATGAGTCTCCCAATTCACTGTTTGAGCCTAAAGGACAGACGTCAATAAAAAGAAAATTCTAAGATTCACGTATCAAGTACCGTTTACCATTTTGCATGAGTTCTTCTAAATTTCTTTGGAACTGATCAGCTGCTTGCTTAATAAAGTCTTCAGTCCATACTTCCTCAACTGTGGTGGCTTCCTCGTTTGATTCTTCTGTGCTCGAAATTGCAGACGGCGAGGATTCATCTTCCTTTTTAGTTATGGCAGGCTTATCGAAATCTTTCAAAGCGCCTAAAAAATATTATTGTATTGAGTGTGGAATTAAATTATGTAACTAAACCTCAAAAATGAATTAATGTTCCTGGTATAAGCAATTCATGGGACGTGATAACTACTAAAATAGTTTTATCACGCAAACAATGTTGATATGCAGAATGTCATGTGTGGAGAAATAATTTTTTACCAATATACAAATCACCAGTGTCAAAGGCTATACACTAAACTTGACAGACGTTTGCATGTTATGGGCTAATATTAGCTAATAGATTTTTCTTCGTGTTTCCACTTACTGTCGAGGAGTTCGTCAAGTTCTGGATCTGCAACTTGGTTTGGCACTTTTTTTTCCTCGGACATTCTGTATTTCAAAAGTAAGTACTTTTTTTAAGCAATCAGCTGCTCTTCCCGGAGTCACGCAACAAGGTCTGCATGTAACTGGCTTTTTATTAGTCTTTCGGCTCGGCAGCTTGGCGATATTAAAAGAGAGGTACTTTTAGTACTTAATTAAGTATAAGATTTGTTCGCTAAAAATTTTCGGGCTCTCTTTCCCTCGGGCGAACCAAGTAATAACAAATAGGTATACACTCTTACTTTAAGTCGCCCAGGGGGGCCCGGCTCAGAATTGCACAGAGACGAGTTATACCTTGTGTATATAAATATATATATATATATATATATATATTTCGATGCCTCGGTCGAAGCGCTAACTTTTATTTATTCAATCCGCGCTCTTCAAGGCAATTTTGAGTTGGAGCTTTTTTCTTGCTGAGGTGTCGTTAAAAAAGCGATGTTTTAATATGATGCTTGGAATTATTTTACTTTTTGACGATATTTTTTTGTAAATAAAAGCCTTTAAGATGGTTTTTTTTTTTTTTTTTTTTAACTTAACATCCGCGATTCGCTTGGTAACGAAATTGGTACTCCGCTTACCATTAAGTTTAAATACTTTATAAATGATAATAAAAATGTAACTAATTCATTTATTCGTATCAATAAGTTAAGAGAGTACCACATGATATAATTGAATTCAAAAACTAAACTAATCTTGTAGGAGACTGAAAAAAACTTCACACATCACTTGTGTTTTCAAATACTTTTAAAAATAAACATTTATTTCGGATTCTTTGCTTTGATAAATAAATTATCTTTCTTGCTCCACATCTTGATCAGCAAAAACTTTATCTAAGATTTCTTTACATAAGTCTTCTATTTCAATACTTCCATCGTGTTTTGATTCTTTTAAATGTCTTTCCAAGGTTTGTTTTAAGCAAAGCTCAGGACGTCTGCATTCTTTTAGTGCAAGGAAGTAGTTGTTATCAGTCATTCCATTTAACAAACTAAGAAGTTGTTCTCTATGAATTAAAAATTGTAATCAGTAACTCTTAATTAATAATATTAAAAACACCGCATTTTTGATAACTATACAAAAGTAAATTTTCTACCTTGTTTCTGAAAGCAAATTTCCCATAGCTAGCATACCTGCTGCTTGTTCAACTAGTCCCATTTTAACCAATGTTAATTTAACAACATCATCTTTCCTACACAGGGATGACAATAAAAATGCAGCTTTTATTTGTAATTTTTCAACTTGACTTTGCATTGCCCTAATTAGCACTGAAAAGCCATCATTGATTGCCATGTATTTTAATGCTATGGGTGGTCCTCTTGCAATGCCTAAAACAAAAAAAAAACAATTAAATGATGTATCTTGATTTTCAACAAAGTCTAATAATGATTATTTTTAATTACAAGAAATGGCATAGAGTGCCTTCACTTTTGCAGTTTCCGAGGGATCTGAATCGATCATGCCCAATAAAATTGGCATAAAGCCTGCCTCTAAAATTTTTTCTTGACACACTGGATTGTTTTGTGTCAATTCAGCTATAAGATTAGCCACTTTCCATCTGATACCATTGTGTGGAGAATTTAAACATATACCAAGAATTGAAAAGCCTCCAATCTTGTAAAAGTCATTTGCCACATCTAAACTGCCAACGCGATCAGCAATCCTATCCAGTATAATTTCGTACTCTGAAGCATCATCTTCATTTCGTAAATTTACGACATTCTCTAAAGTTTTTATATCTCTCTGCAACTCTTCGATGACATTAACAGTCATGGATGATAGTGCGTTGTTAAGAAATCTTTTTTTCTGGGGGTTATTGAGATAAATGAATTATTTAAGTATTATGGTTTACTTGATTTTACTAATAGACTGTCAAAAAACCGCTGCAATATTTGTTTACCTCTTCGTCAATTGGCAGAAATTTTGACTGATTTGTTGTGTCTTCAGCTTTAGTTGACTCCATAGCAAATTTCAGCAGTCCCTGTAAATTTCTGGGTTGCCTTGGCTGATTAGGAAGTATTTCTACATTGGATTGCGTTCTAGGAGGTTCTATGGATAAAGGTCGCGTGCCACTAGAACCACCTTGCCCTGTGCTTTGGTTTTTGGGATTTCTAAAGTAACAACCAAAAAATCAATACGTTATTCATCATAAAATGTATTTTCTCACATAAAGTGCACAAATCTTACCTGTCCATAATTGATGTCAAACGTGAATTTTCTGATTGAGACGCACCCATTACATAAAAAAGTATCACAACATTAAGTAAAATGTAATGTGCATCTAAAACTGTGAATATTATACATGTACAACGTACCTATGTAGGAGCACACCTGTTTTAGAAACCAAATTATTAGGAACACAGGGATATTTTATCAGCTTTTCGTTGCGTATGCGAATGTATATAAATACAAGATTTGACTTTAAAAACTTATTTATATGCCTATAACAACAATTCACACCAACGTATAACTGACGCTTTGATTCAAGGTTGCGACTACACAGCTATAGATAAGCTACCCAGCCAAACCACACAGATAAGTGACTGAAAGCTAGCTGCCACATGTAGCGAACTATATTGTTATTTAACCCCTGTTGATAAACAAGTTTCCTGATTTCATAGGTGAGGTGAACTTTCATTGAAACGAATATTATTGTTTTATAATTTAAATTTATTTACACACACCATAACTTAAAGAGAAAATTAAAATTAACATCTACAGAATTCTAATAAAATTTATTCCGTCCATCTGTGAGTGCAATGAGTATTTGTACAGACATAATAAAGTCTCATTTCTTCTTCAGCTCTTCGTGTTTGAGCTTGGAAAAAAACTGCTTCTCTGTGATTGCATTTTGGGCATGGATGTTCCTCGGTTCTTGGTAACGTTGGATCAGATATAACGTCAGCAACTATATGAGTCAACTCACTGAAAAAGTAAAAAGATGTTTTAAAATATGATTCATTTGAGGATTAAAATTTAAATCTGTAGAGTTGTAACTACACTCACTCAATTTCGTGCATAATTTTGTTGACATATATACAACTGCTGTCAGCCAATGTTTTGAAATCACAATTTCTACACTGAAAATACATGGAAAAATAAAAAAAATCAAATTATCGCTCATTAGATTGATAAATATAATTAAACATAACCTCAAAATATCCACAGCAGTCTAAACACTTACCGCATACATGAGAACTTTATTTTCCTTGTCTTCTCGCGGATACAACATATTGTTACATTCTTGACAAAACTTTATTCCTACAAAACCTGGTCCATCGTCATGAACCTGACCTTCAAAAGTTCCCAATCTAGACATTTTTGAAAATAAACACAAGAGAGAGGGATAGTGTCAACCGACCCGAAAGCGTCAAGTGACCCGAGACTGCGCAGTACGCATCTGGGACCCGAGTATGCGCAGTCCTCAGCGGGCAGTTCAAAAATCCCAAAGTGCGCTATACGCCCAAATCCACAAAAACCCAACAACTTTAACCAAATAACCCAGGGGACTTATAGATTATGAATTGCAAGTTATTCATTGAAATAAATAATTATTCATTGAAAAATAATAGAAAGCCAGATATAAATATCCAGCAAAAACATANGGATATTTATATCTGGCTTTCTATTATTTTTCAATGAATAATTATTTATTTCAATGAATAACTTGCAATTCATAATCTATAAGTCCCCTGGGTTATTTGGTTAAAGTTGTTGGGTTTTTGTGGATTTGGGCGTATAGCGCACTTTGGGATTTTTGAACTGCCCGCTGAGGACTGCGCATGCTCGGGTCCCAGATGCGCACTGCGCAGTCTCGGGTCACTTGACGCTTTCGGGTCGGTTGACACTATCCCAAGAGAGAAGCGATGTCAACGCTGAATGCTGATCCAAAATCCAAAACCCGTCTGTCACTCGCGGGCGAGGTCTTTCCAAGCTTGTGGCGCCATCTAAGATTTGAAAATCACTAAAGTCCGCCAAATTCAAAAGTTAAGGTAGTGTGTTGGCCGTATAAGTACTGCAGTCGAACGACAGTCAAGTTTACGCTCGTCTTTGGTGCTGATTTCGCAGTTCCATCGCCTCGATAACATATTAGCCGAAGGTGTATAATATAGTAAGTATAGGAGTTTTGTTTTAGTGCCTCAATGCTAAAAGTGTAGACATAGACACAAAGGTTAAAAGCCAATACGAAAAATTAAAAACTAATGAATTTTTTTTTCTTATTTTCTAAATATTGAAGTGTATTTAATACATTACATGGTTATCGAATATAACGGCATATTATTTACTTTAGTATAAATATGTGCAAAATATACACTTATGAGTAAGGATAAGGATCAACCAATGACCAACGACTGGTAGTGTGGTATGTGAGGCAAACTGACGATTGGCTAGGTAGATCACGGCGCGTAAACAAAATGATAAATTATTTTTTATTTATCCAAGATGGAAGTGTTGCTCTTCTTGTACAGCTTATACACTCGACAGAGTAGACTTGTATTTATGTGTGGGTAAGTTTTATAACCCGCAGTAACAAAAAGAATGTCGTTGAACGATATTTTTTACGTAAAATATACGGGGCTAAGAGCACTTTTCTGCCCTTGATAAGGTTTTCGACGTTATATATAATGGCTCCATTTTAAAAATATCTCTCGCAATAAAACGTGAAAAATCATGAGCAAACGCAGTTTTGTCGTCATTTCGGCATGTCCCTATACCTATCAGTGTACACGCAAACAATCGATATGTAATGAATCTCTATAACGTTTTAGTTTGATTTCAAATCGTAAAGAAAATTTAGTTTCTGATTTCCTCCAGTCAACTTTTTACTTTCTCACCATGGATGACTCTGCAATCAACATGGAACTCGAGGAGTACGTGTGTGTATGTGTGTCCACACATTTGCCGGATATACATGTTTTATTTATGTCCACCCGCATTTATACGTAAACCCTAACCCTTTTACATTTACAATAATTTATGTATACAAGGTAAATCCACAAACGTCGAATGTTATAAGAAAGAAAGAAAGAAAGAAATTGAAAGCATCAGTGTGCGTCATAAATTGCGAGTCATTTAACACACGGAGAGTCGTTTGCGTCTACTTTTTTATACACGTATCGATGCTAAATAGATTATCCACTTATGAACGGAATACAGAAGCGTATAATATATATACACACTACTAGTCCGGCGTCATCCACTTGCAGGGTGAGCCAACACGCGCGCGCTGGCGTTATAAACTTTATCGCTTTTGCATAAAGTATTGATTATACATTTGATTCTAAAGCGCTCCTCTCTCGCCCGCGTGGCTTTGTTGTATTGATTTTGCCATTAACCTGGAGAGGGGTATTCGGGTAAATCGGGCGTTTACCAGTTCGACACCGTTGAAAGTGCCAAAAGGTCCTCTCTTCATCGTTAGACCACTCGTTACTTTTCACCTAATCATACGTGCCATTACATGCGTTGGCGGTACGCGCTTACAACATTCGAATTATTACAACGTGCCTCATGTAAAAAAGGTGGGAAGGAGAGGACCAGCCTGGAAGCGGAGGCGCGCGCAAGCGCGCCAACGATATATAAGACGGCTCCGAAACTCCACAAAGCGCAGACTCTCTCTCTCTCTCTCTCTCTTCTCCTCTGCTGTAGCCGACTTATTCTATCCTCGCCTACTATATAGGTACTTATGATGTGTGTATTTATGCTTTGCCGCACACAAACCCCCGTATACCCGTCTCCGGTCCGATCCACTATATATAGCTGCCCCTCTCGCTCGTTGGCTTGCAAATGTACACTTATATATTGTTAAATAGCTGGATTTTCTAGCCCGTCGTGGATGTGCTCGCTTATACATCCATCACGCTTTTCTCCAGGTACACCTATAAGTATATCTCTTGCACCTAGCTCTTTTTCCATTCGAGTCTTATGGAAGAAATCGGTAATACTTGAACGCGTCCCTCTCGCGATCCGTCAGTCGGTATACGATTGTCAAGTTGCTGGCATCGCAGTGCTTGTACGTACAGCCACTGTAATAAACTTAATACATATATTAACAGTCATTGGATTGGAGGGAGCGGATACGTAGTATTATATACCTACTTATTGTATACCAAAGTGTGTTTTTCAAGAGCGCGCCTTCGCCGTGGTTCGTCTCTTTCTCTCTTTTTGTCTCGTGTCCTACTGCTACTACTCCCATGAGCTTAAAGCCGCTCACGCATGCAGTTAGGGTGTAGTGAACGAAAAGGAAATAAGAAAAAAAAAAAAAAAAGAAAAAAGAAAACACACGTATATATACACGCACTGAATCAACAACGTTGCCGCTTCGAGATTGTTAATCCGAGTGTGTCTGGTGCCACGGCCTACTGTAACATTTTAAGCTCTTCTTCTTCGCTTAGTACTTACAACCTTATATTCTTCATCAACGTTGCATTATTGTCTTCGCCCGTAGAGCAGGTTTGTACAAAACAGCAAGTATACTTACTTCTTCTGGTTGACAATATCATTGTATCATTTCGGTTGTTTATGCTCTATCGGATCAATACGCGAGTGCCCTTTGAACCACCGACTTGTCTTTTCTGTCTTTTTTTTTTTTTTTTTTTTTTTTTTTTTTTTTTTTTTTATAATTTCTGTTCCCAATGCTCGCCGTACTTACTTATCGTCATTGGGTCTATATTTTATGAGATTTTGGCTGTATAGACCGACGAGTTTTCATTAGTTTCATATTAATTTTTCACAATAGCGTAGTTGTGTGTACAATATACGTGAGCACGAATAGTATTGTAGTCCGGCCTGATAAACAACAAAGATAACATTTATCGAATTGTTCCCTATTACGCGTCATGCATTACTTAAAATTTTTCATAAATATTAATCACGCTGACGGTAGAGTCTCAGTGAAGAATTATACATGTTTGTCGAATTCGTGCAAGTTTGTACGAGGCAACGCCCTTTTATTGACGTTAAACTTTGTTGTCTTGGAAAGTACAGTTGACGGTCACCGCCTTGGAGTTTGTACAATCGTATAACTAAACGAGAAAAACTGGCTCAAAGTGTTTTTACGTAGGTATTCGTGTTTAAGTAGTTATGACTCGGAGAGAGAGGCCGCAGAGTGTGCAACTCTCGTGGTTACTCCCCCACCCCCTCGTAGTGGAGATTTGAATTTGGCGCGCCCTTTGGCAAAAACACATGTAATGGGGCGAGATGAGAGAAAGCATGCCAAGTAGATGTCTCTAGTCTCGCATCAATCGCTGCATCGCTGCATGGGCCCGCGAACCCGGGCGTCCTGGACTGTAGGTACTACAAATATAATGTAACTTATGTGGGGGAATCACATCTACAAAAAATCCTAAGACAGAATATATGATCACGTCTCCTTTAAATTTAGTGTAATATAGAGAAAGAAATTTTTTCATTTTTTTTATTTTAAGATTTTGAGAATCACATTAGTCTCAAGTTGTAATGTACTCATTATGAAAGTAATTAACACTGTAGTTATGTGCCTTTCTTACGAAATACGGGTACGTAAAACACAGAGAAACTCAAGTTATCTAATCACGTGTAAACAAAAAAATGTTAATTAACTCACAGCTTATATCTAAAGTTGCAATAAGTCTTAAAAACAAAATGTAGGTATCTAGACCGAATCTTGTAAAATCTTTTGATGTATACTTAAAGTCTTGTAACTATATAAGTAGAGAGTGTTTGAAATAAATAGGAACACGTATAAATCGCAACATATCTAATACCTACTACCTTCGTTCTTCGTGGCTGTAATATACCTATAACTTATATATACCTTACCTACTCTCGTGCTGGTGGCGGCGAACAAATTTGGAAAACGAAAAGGAATAAGTATAAAATAATTAAAAAGAGGCGCATGCGCAGGCCGCCATAATCACACATATACATCAATGTGGGGGAGGGAAAGCGGTAGTCGGCGAGTCGAGTCGTCTTTCTGCGTCTATAATCAAGATTATTCTCGTCAAGATACTTGGCTCGCTGAGACAAGGCGTTCGGTGTTTAGTGTTGTCTACGAGAGAACAGTAAAAAGTGTGCATGCGTCTTTTTTGATCGACGACCGTAAATGTACTCGATGAGACTGATAGAAAAGAAAAGGCATATAACCCTCGAGTATACCTTAAAAGTATAACGTAGAGAAAAAAGAGCAACATCCGCGCGGTTTTGCTCTGCTGTCTGCTGTCTCTCTCCGGTTCCCGGTGTGTGTGTGTGTGCGCATTGTGTTTTTGTCTCCTCTCCCTCTCTTTGGGCTTCCTTGTTCATTCGGTGTCGGTGCTCTTCGAATAAAGAGAGTAGAGTATAGTATATAGGTATGTAGGTACAGCGGTGGGAGAGAGATGAGAGAAAGAGCGAGCAAACCCCCATAATATCATATACAGCCCCAGAGTTTGACTGTACAACTTGGCCGGCAGTAGGTAGTGTGCGTGCTGCCGTGTAAGTACCTTACACGAGAACTCCGGGGTTGCATTTCGTTCTCCTGCTAATTTTTCAGTCACTGAATATACTTTTCTTCGTCCCCGCAGATGCTTACTCGCACGTTCGAATGGATAACCAGTGGATAGATTCGTTCCATCCAACCCGAGAGCAACAGTAAGAAGCGGCGGCGGCAACGACGACGGCGGCTTCGTGTGTTATAAAATATATCATCAAGAGAGAAGCCTCCACGCGCGGAGCGAGAGAGAGAGAGGCAGATATCTTCCTCTCGGCGACGGATGTAATAGTGCGTGTTTTTGCCGTCACTAGAGAAAAGATTGACGACGACGACGACGACGACGAGTGTGTTGTATACTCTCAGTTTAGTGTTTCCTAAGGATACAGAGCCCAACGCTCGCCGTCATCATCACGACGTGCCGGAGAGAAGACTCTCCCAGATCTAATTTACCCAGGAGAAGGATAACCCAGCCGCCAAGCTGGATTCTGTAAGTACTTAGTTAGTGTAAGCCCTAAGAACGACACTTTCTATATAAATTTTAATTCCGATAGTTTGTATCAGACACTTGAGCATCAATAGAATTCATGATACGCAAGGTATACTGAAAATTTTTGCGTCCGTGTCTAAAGGGTTTAGGTGTGATTTATAAAATTCATAGACCTCTATGGGTACTACCTCAGCTTTGGTTGATTCGTTTATTTCATTTTCATTCGTCACTCAACTCCCCGATGTGCAGTTTCTGGAATCGCGAGCTTCAGATGCATCTTTCTTGTCGGCTCCTCTCTTTCATCTCGATGGGACTAAGTGCATATACCTTTTGCGAGTTGCGAACGAGACGGTATATACAGGCGCGTGGCTCACAGTTTGGAGCATCACGGTGACGCGAGAAAAGGACGGCGTGCAATTATAAGGAAAGAACAGAACGAACAGCGCACGCAAAAAGTGCGTGCCATGACCCTGCGCGTATATATTTCATTTTTCTCTCTCTCTCTCTTTTAAGCGTACTTCTTTACGCTAGGTAATACACACAAGTACGTTATGGTGTTATACTTGTCATACATAATACGTATGCATACATGTACACGCATAGAATGGTACGCGAGAACATGTGAGTGCCGGGGGGTGATGGCCCCTCGTCGCGACCAGCGTATGTATGTAAGTGTACAAGCATGTATGCCTGCGCCCGCTAGCTAGCGCAGTCGCTCTTCTCCTCGACGGCGGTGTAGCCACGGCGTCATCTCTCTTTCTCCCGAGATCTATTCTTCTCTCTCTGTTACCCCTTTTCATGGTTCCCCTGCAAGCCATACTCTATTATAATATCCATGGCTCCCACACTTGGACGAAGAATAAGTGTATGGTGCAGGCGAAGGCGACAACTCTTAATTTTTATACTTATTTCGTTTCTTCAAATTCAGAGTCATCGCTTCTTTTTTTCCCTTCGAGTCACATCCCCCAAAATACCGGCTCGCTTTGGTTGTTCATTTAGATCGCATTTGATAAATCGATTGACTTGTGTTTCATGCAATCCGCATGAGAAAAGATTTTGCTCGTGAATTTTCGTTTCTCCGAGCTCTCTTTTTGCCACATTACCTCATTTTCCTCGAGTGCAAAAGTTCATTTGCTTCTTCGTGCGTGTGCGTGCAGTGGATTAGATATGCGTGGGTATTATAAAATTATATGCTTGGCAGGGTACACATAATTCGTCTACGGTGGTGTAAGTCATGTCGTTGCACAGAAAACATTTCAAGTTAATTTGCAAAAATAACGGTTTCAGAAAAAATATTTTATGTCAGAGCGTTATCTTCATTTCATCGGGCAGCCGATGATACCCATAATGATCTGTTAATGTCGAAAATTTGTAAAGTAGGTACCACAATAATCTTTTCCAAGTATATGTTAATGACACAAAAAATGCTAGATCAAAGAAATTTTTCTTAGTAATAATTGTCTGATTATCTGAGAGAAACTTCGCTGTAGGGTCTGCATTTAAACAGTTGTTAATTTTTTATTTATAAACGCGTGTTACGAGCGCATAACCTCCCGTAAATGTTGTATGTTCCATATCTGCCTCAGTAGAGAAATAAATAGGTACATTGTGTCTCGTGCAAATGACGTTATGACATTAATTTCGTAAAAAAACAACCATAGTGTTAAATTTAAACAACAAAATGATTTCACTCGGTTTTTGCAGTCCTTAAAATTTCTGTCTAAACATTTTTTCACGTTCACTTAAACAAAGCGTATTTTGCTACTGTTTTAATCGAAAATTCAAATTTTCCTCTCGAAGGTAGGTATCCGCGTCGATGATAATTTTCCAAAAAAAAGCCTCAACTTGCCTGGACTATAAAGAGCGGCAGGCACACGCGGTTAACGCCGCCGAAACACGTGATTTTTTTTTCGGATCGGACGAATCGTGCGGCGTTCGGTTTTGGCCTTAAATTCACTTTTTTTCCATCCACATAACATAAATATACTCCACCACCGATTCCGAAATCCCTTCGTTTTTTCCTTTCCTCATTTTTTCCTTCATCTATTTTCTGCTGATGGTTTCTCACTTTGTTCTCTCTCTTTTTCCACCATTACCGGCGTCCTCTCTGTTTCTTCTTCTTCTTCTTCCTCTCCTCCTCCTTACCCTCTTTTTCTTGAATAACAACGAGGGAAGAAATATATAGACATATGCACGAGTAAAGGAAAAAGAGGGGCGATCAAAGGAAACACACATACACGTACGTTACCTGTTGTACGTTGGTTAAACAGAGAAAGAAAAAAAAAATTACCTTTATGGTGTACACCCATTAGCGTAAATATGCAATAAAAATGGTCTCCAAAGTAATATAAGAGAAAGTTACGGAAAAACAAATGCCCAGGATTGAACTTTATGAAAATTTTCGGGGAATTTCCCGAGACGAGAGATAAAAGAAGGAATCAAGTGTCGAAGAATAAGTTAGTTAAGGCTCCACACGCTCGGTACATCGGTGTACATATTATTATATACACTTACGCCGCATGAACAACAACCATCTGCATGCAAGCGAGAGCCTCCATTGAGAAGCCCATATAAATATATATGTGTGTAAGCCGACGTGATCGTGATGTACTGCTGCTACCATTCGTTACCTTTTATTTTTAATACCGTTATGTTTGTTCCTCCTCTCACTCCTCGATAACTATATACTTGTACATACCATAGGTACATAAACAGACACACACACATGCACATCACGTTGGGGGAGAGGAAGACCGTTACATAGGCAAAGCATTAGAAACAAAGATTTTACAGAGATCGTTGGCCACTGATGTACATTCGTTTTTTGATCACCCCGCGAACGAAGGAAACAAAAAAAAAAAAAAAAAATTCAATACATCGGGTTACTCGAGCGCTTGCTCCGCTTCGCGCTTTTTATTTTCGTGTATATGTAATAATAACAACAACAATGATCTACCTACGTACAATTATATAGTCCGCGATTGCGCTCGCGTATATAATATTTTGGGGTGTCGCTTTAATGTACAATGATTTGTATACAGGTACTTACTTAATGTATCAATTAGGCCAACGCATGTATACGCCGCATGTACCAAGTGTGCAAGCATATATTGTTATTATTATAGGTATGCGCATGTGTTTGGTCTGTCTCTCTGTTCTCCTTCGGTTCTCACTCGCGGGGCGAATTTGACGCACGGAATCGATTTCTTTGTCGAGTCTTGAAGCTGCACGCAAGAGCTAGTGGTAAAGAGAGCGAGGGTGGGAGCGAGCAATTGATGATGTGTGTGTGTATGTGTGTGTGTGTACATACAAAAACACAAAAAAAGAGCTGTAGAATGAGAGGGAAAAAGGAGGCTGAGGAGGAAAAGAGTCGGAGCAGAGAAGAGTCCGACCAAGAAGGAATAAGTATATATTTATAAAAGTATAAAGATTCCTCTATAAATGCATCTCTTCGATACGTTTGTACATATGTATGCATATAGTGTACATACCCATAGTAGTCAGTACACTATAATGTAATATATATATATATACCTATACATTTATACGTACACACATGCGCGTGTAAAGGAGAATTTTTCCCTTTTGCTCTCGTATGATATACGTATACATATATAGCACTGCACTCGTCCGTGCTGTTGCAGCAGGGAAGAGCGAAACGGAGACGAGAAAATCGTCTGATGAGCGCAGCAGGCCTGCAAGCAAGCACGCCTGCACGTGTACACATTGAAAATATGTGTGTGTATGTGTGTATGCTGTCTGTCTCTTTCTCGATCACTTCTTGTATAACTATCTATCCGTATAAAATGTGTGCTTTAAAGAAAGGGAAGAGCGACTGACTGTTGGGCTGCTGATCGGCGATATGTATATAAGTGTACCTATATATGTATAAAAGTACGAGTAAATCCACATGTATACATGTATAGTCGCGAGCGATTTTTACGTGTATTATACGTATGCGCGTGTATAATAATGTGTTGGGCAGCAGAGAGTGTTGGGGTGGCGACGACGGCTGTGACTCCGAAATGTGCAAGTATATAGGTATAGCTATATAAATACAGCGGCGTGCTCTCTCTTTGGTCTGCTGTCGGTGTGCTATTATGTATGCTGCACGCCCGAGAGCAAAGGAGATGGAGCATAAGTACGCGAAGCGCCATATTGCTCTCTTAGAGAGAAAGAGAGAGAGAGAGAGAGAGAGTGAGTTTCGGTCTTTCTCCCTTGTCCCTCCCTCGTGCACCGCGGAAAGGCGGCTGAAGTGAGATCCGTGCGAGGGAGGGATATTACTGTACATTAGGTACTTGCTAGATGCACCACGACGAAACAGCCGAACCAGCGAGCGCGGAGATATTTTTCGGAGCAATAGGATATATAAATTTATACCGCGCGCGGCCTATGCATCGGAACACACACACACACACCGTGAACAACACCACATGTGTATCATATCCATACGTGTATCTAACTATCGGCACCTTATTCATGTGCATTTCAGTATACGTAAAGGTAAGTAACCTGCTATTGGGGGGGAGATTGTGTCCACCGCTAACATGTCCAGTTTCAGGGGTTTGGTTCACTAATCTTTTTACCCCGTCGATAAGACTCTTCTGAGTCATGTCTGCAAGACGCGTCTTTGAGATGTGTTGTTTCGGGGATTCTGTTACCGACAAATGATGAAAAACCTCATGGGGAATGTTCGTTGACGACGGCCATGCCGAATAACGTGCGAATAAACAAATGTCCTTACTTAGATACTTGGATGTCTATACATGTACTTAACTTGCAAAAAATTGTTCGTAACCACTGATTTTTACTGTTCAAAGGTGCTTTTTCGTCAAACTCCATTGTAATTAGTCGCAAACAAATTTTTACAGTTTTAGGCAAGTGTCCTTTAATAGTTCAAGTACGAATAACTACGTCGCTTCGCGTAAAAAGACGTTCAGTCGTTCAGTGCCTATCGATCTCGTCTCTCTCCCGCCCTCCTCTCTTTTCCTTCCCCTTGATGCTGGTATTCGTTAGTTAGTTAGTTGGTTTGGTTAGTTTGGTACTGCTGCTGCTTCAGCACAAAGTCGCCCTTTTCTCTCGCCGGTTTGGTACAATATATTATACATGTATAGTTACACACACAAAACTGAGTAAGTGTTTTATACAGCAGCCGTATCTTTTGCTTATAATATACCCATCATAAGTGTACTGCGTAACGTACTGTTCGTTCGTTTTTGTGCGCTCGCTCGGATGGTCGCACGCGTGCATTTGGGCGCAAAAAAAAAAAAAAAGAAGAAAATATTAAAGTATAGGGATTTTATTTTTCGTTTGTTTCCTTCGTTTGCCTCGTAAAATCGGAGCGAGGCTGCTTCTGCTACTTAGGCACTGCTCCTTTTACCCGCGCGCGCGCGCACGAATTATGTACACACATACGCGCGTGCACACACACACACACGCGCGCGCGCTCGCGTTTAGATATACACGTGTGTGCGTACCTCTGTACATACGAGAGAGAGATAAAGCAGCCTTTTGCGGAAGTCCTTTTTTTCCCTTTCCTCTCTCTTTTCGTACGCGTACAGTTTATTTTTGCGCGAATCCTTACGCTCCCGATGCGTTGCCGATATGTGTGGTAGGTAGGTATATATGTATACGCGTGTTCACAGAAGAGAGGAGGGGAACGCACGTACACACGGCCGTGCCCGCTTTTGACGGTTGGGTGCGAGTTTAGAAAGTTTAACCAACGTTAGACAGCCATTGGGAATTCCGACTTGGGATTTGAGGAAATTTGGTTATTTAAAAAGAAACGCCCGTATTTTCTTACTTGCTCCATTGAAATCGAGCTGAATTTAATATTCCGGTCCGTACTCGCTCGGGTTTTAGTATTCCGCGTCCATGTCACTTTCAAAGTACCTAATTCTTTTTTTCTTCCTTAAGTATACATTTTCTAAACGCACGTTATGACCTATCTACACCTGTAAAGTATGTTCCTATTAGAGCCTCAAAATTCATATGGTATACACACTCACACATAAGCTTCGATGATAAAAGGATTGCGTTTGTTAACATTTGTAATCGTAACATTGACAAATTGGAGAAACTCGTTACTTTCGAGCTGCATCGATGAAATAAGTAAATTCGACGTTCAAGAGTTGATTGAGTTAAGGAAAAGAGCAGCGCAAAAATATTTGTCGGAAATTCTCGTACCTATACTAGTATGAAAAATACCGCGAAAGAATGAAAGAGCGAAAAAAAAAGCATTAAACTTTCTCTTTTTCCTTTCTTGACGTAAGTATACACATTTATGTATATTTAAAACTCTGCAGCTGATAAACCATCGCCCTTACCTAACACACACACAAGTGATCCCAACGCGACGATCGGCTCGCACATTGCTTCGGCTGGGAATTATTATACTTACTTATCTTCGGAAAAGAGAAAGACACTGAAACGAGGAGGAAAAAAAAACCTACCCATCAGGTTGATAGAAATCTTGTTCATGATTTTCCAAAAAGAAAAATGTATGCCTGTATTAATACACGAAAGACAGAAAAAAGTGTATGCAAAGAGGCATGGAAAAAAAAACCCAATATTTAATCGTGTGCTTGTACTTGCATACATTTTCTACACATGGGATTGGTAGTGGCTCATCCTCACGCTTAGCTATATAATAATATTAGTAGCCAGGCGATGATATCTGCATCATCGTAGGAGATAGCATTTTCGTCGTGTAGAATTTCGACGACTGAGGCACATTAAAGTCCTGCACCGCCACCGCGTATAGGCACCACCATCACCATCATCGTGACAATTCGTGCAGTGCTTGTTTTAGGAGAAGGAAGAAGACGAAGAAGGGAAGTGGACGAGCGAGATTTTTAGAATCGACCGTTACGGGCTCAACGCACTGATGCTCCATCTTTTGTCGTCCGCCGCTCTTTCCTTTTTCCAATGTCTTGTTCATCGGCGTTGCCGGAATCGCCGTCGTCATCGTCACTGTTAACTTGTAAAACTCCAGCCATCGGCAGCTATTTCTTTCTTTCTTCCCTCTTACCCCTGTTGTATACTTACCGCGCGCATAATACGTTTTTACTCTGCGCACCAATGGCAGTCTCATTAAGAGCTCACCCTGTATGCACCGCAAGTTATTCTATATAGGTACGGTACGATCACACGTTGGAATTTCATGTATCCCAATTATACAGGCACAGCTCGCATTTACTAGATGCAAACGTGCATTTACTTATTTTCTTTCTTCGTACCTAATTGTACGTGATAAAAGTTTTTTTTTTCTTTTTTTTTTCTTTAAAGTGACAGGGTGTCCTTCACAATAGCTTCAAAAATGTTAAATTTATTGTCATTATGATTATTTTCAAATCATCTTCAAGATTTAGAACTTCTACTTATCAAGAGTACATCAACTGCCTTGAAAGCGATTAATACGTACATTTCTATCTTGTACAAAAACTTCAATTTTGATCAAATTGACTTTCTCGAAATCTTAGATCAATTATTATTGTTTTCGATAATATATCTTACGCTCACTTGACGAAACCACGTGTGTTTGTCAACGTTGATACATTCATTCACGTTAGTGACTTTTTTTTTATCAGTCCATGTGGTTTGCAGTACACGAAATTGTAATGGTATTTTAGGTACTCTTGACATAATATATTCGACTGGGTTTAAATTATACTTCTTAAAACGCATTCTAACTTGACTCTATCGAAACATTAAAATAAAATAATATAAACAATAATATTTATGATTTTATTTATTTTTAATTTTTCACAACAGTTAAATCCAGACTCGTTCATGGACGAGCTAATAATGGACTCGGGCCCAGCTCCAGCTGCCCAGCAGCAGCAGCAACAGCAGCAGCAACAACAACAACATCAGCAGTCGTCCTATCCACTGGGTGACCGGCAGCAATTTTGTGTCTCGTGGAACTCGCATCAGTCCAACATGCACAGCGCTTTTCCCAAACTCCTGAGCAGCGAGCAGTTCGTTGACGTGACCTTGGCCTGCGACGGTGGCTCGATCAAGTGCCACAAGGTCGTTATCTCGGCCTGCAGTGACTATCTCGAGCGCCTACTCCTCGATCTTCCATGCCAGCATCCCATCATCTTCCTCAAAGACATGAGGATGTGGGAGCTTCAAGCTCTTGTCGAGTTCATGTACCGAGGCGAGGTCTACGTCGAGCAGCAGCAGCTGGCCAAACTTATGCAGGCGGCAGAAGCTCTGCAGGTGATGAGAAATTTTCCACCTTTTTCTGTTTGAACCTTTCACGCGCTCTTTTACTTTTTTTTACATTTGCCTGGTGCTTAGATAAGGCCTTACTTGTTTATTATTTGTACTTGCTATCACGGGCCACGACCGTTTTTACCGCTATTCTCTTTTTATGACGCATTTTTGGAGCTCCAGAAGAACTTGATAACATTTTGATTATTCATTTTTTTTTTTTTTTTTTTTTTTTTTCCCTACTCTTACGTCTAAAGTAATGCTCTCTAGTCGAAATATTAGATAAAAGACGGGCATTTTAGTTGCTATCGTTTTAAAATTTGTATGGTCCAAAAATCTTCTAAAATGAAGAATTTTTTTTAGATAACATTGAGAACACAAACAAATCTATCTATCGTATGAATTTTCGTCTAAAAATGAGACTGTAGGCAGATTAAATTTGTTATCTACAAAGTTATTCATGTGTACATGTGTATGTTTATTTTATTTAGATAAAAGAAAAAGAAAAATGGAATAATAATATTTCAACAAATCGTATTCTTGTGAAATTTCTGATTGTCAGACGTCTTCGAAATAACATGGTCATTTAATGTTAAAATGTTTTCCACGAAAATGAGATACTATGAAAATTTTTTATTCTCCTTGGATATCAAGCCAACATGCATCTACACTAAAATTTGTGTTAGTCTAAAAAAAAAATCTAAATTAATTTTTTTTTCCATATCATTGCCAACGTAGGTTCGTGGACTGTCAACTCAGGGTCGAGACAGCAACGGAGTGTCTGACAGTTCCCACATGAACAGCAACTCGGCCCCGATCAAGCCCTCGCCACCAAAGGGAACGAGTGGTGGTGCCTCATCGACAACCTCATCAATCGGTGCTGGCGGATCCGACTTTCCCCAGTGCGATGATGCCCATTCAAACGACGATGGTTCCGAGTCGGACTATCTAAGTACCAGTGTACTCTCCAGCGGCCTGCCCGCTTCCCTTACAGCTACTCCAACCGGCACTCAAGACCAGTCGGCTACGTCGATGAACAACCCCCTTAGTGCCACCAATTTCTTGAATATGGAGCACAGCGAGGCTCTCCACCACCTCGAGAAGGCTCTGAGTTCTTGCGAGGCGACCCTTACTGAAGCTCCGGGCATGGTTAAGATGGAGCCTGACGAACATCAGATACTTGCCCAACAAGAAAAGCAATACTCCATTGTTGCCGTGCAACCTAATAGTTGTGGTCCAGGCAGTCCATTTCCTGCCATAGAAGGTAGGTTTTTTTTTTTTTTTTTTTTGTTTTTTTTTTTCTTTCTCTGAACCTAATCGATAAAGTAATTAACGCAGGTAGATACCTTTTTCACTGCGCTTTAGAATCCACATTTTTATTTGATTAATAATGCTTATTCCACACGCATTGGCGCTGGAGCTAAATATTAGTGTATTACTACAGCCACGTGAAATTTTTCGTCTTGGAAGATAAAAAACTGTTATCACATAGTTTAATAATTTATCAATTCTTATCTTGGTAAAATTAAGTTTCGTTTATAAAATTTTACATCGCGCTGACGTTACTTGATTAAAAAATATTTTCTTAACTTTCTGTTGATTTATTTTAGTTAAAATTTTTCCTTTAAAAGTCAATTCAAACCATAGTATAAAATTCAATCAAGTACAAATCAACGTTTTTCGTATTACGTAAATTGAATTATCTTAAAGGGTTGAAAGAAAAAAAATTAGTTTATGTTGACAGATTTTATTTTTTTTATTTAGTAACGTATGAAGCTGTGAAAACGAATTGTTTATTTCATAGGTTATCAAAGGCGACAGCGACGATCCGAAGCTGAGTTAAAACAAGCCTCGGACCTAGTTGCACGTGGTATGACCTTCCAAGTAGCCTCGGAAAAGTACAATATCCCCATCAGCACAATTCGGTTCTACATGGCACGCAAAGGTATCCTCAAGAGGCGAAAGCGCGGCCGTGGCTCCAGCCAAGCCGGTGGTATGAGCCAGCCTGGCAGTCCAGCGTCGCCACCTTTTCACATGTTGAATTTCCGTCTGCCAGAGAGTCTCAACACCAGTCTACAGTAGTGTAAAGCTACTCCAGTAGTAAGTTTTAAAGAGTCTCAGAGCAGATGTGTTGAGATGAAAGGAAAAGAGATTTCTTGGAAATTTCGCTGCTAAAATGAGAAAAAGAGAAACGAGAGAGAGAGAAGCAAAAAAAGTTGTTTACAAATAGTAACAAGTATGTAGTTGTGTTGTTAACAACACTAGAGCTGTTTCAAAGACGCGCTTCCCCTTTTTTCTTCCTATACCGCCGATAACCATTTTTAATCTTCCACCCACAAGAGAGACGGTTCGCGACTCCCCTATGCGTTTCAATGTATGTGCTACTATACAATAACTACAAACGAACAAAATGAATTTGATTCAAGCTAATGATCTTATTTCTGTAACTACTATTTTTATTTTGCTGTTGCAAGTACTGCTGTATGTTGAAGTTGTGCCACTGTTCGTCATACAGTTATTTCAGTCCACTTTATCATCCTCTTTATTTTTTATTATTATTTTTTTTTAATTCTAATTTTTAAGTGTATGTTAGCATTTCCTAATATTTAATACTACAAAAAAAAAAAAAAAAAAAAAACGCGCTTAAGCGAAATGACGATTAGTTTTTGCCACAATAAACTAATAGTAACTGTAACATCCGAGATTTATAGTTTTACAAGTCTAGAGCAGCTCTAAGCCGTGTATATATTAACTGAATATTGTACGAAACAAAAAAAAAACAAAACAAAAAAAAACAAAAAACAATGAAAATAATAGTAAGTGAGAGGACAAATTGTAAGAAAATCCGTCGAGTTGCGCGCAGCACGAGGCAATCAATGCTCATTAACTCAAACCCGTTAAAAGATGGACCGGGGGCTGTCGCCAACGCCGACGATTGGGTGTCGTCTTACACCCTAATTCTAGAATCGATGTAGAGGCTAAAGCTTGTGTATTCTTTTTTTATACTTTTATCAATATGTACTTCTGTATGTATACCGATTTCGTTATTTTATGCAATTATGCGTATTTAACTTGTGCATCATAAGTATGCCCACTCACGTATACTCGCGCTCATAGATGTATTATTATTATTATTACTATTATTATTATTATAACTATTATTTTTATCGTCACCCTTCCTGATACACTCGCGTATTTATTCCTACTTTACGTATGTCCTTAGACTTATTTTATTTATTACTCATACTCGTACTAATCATCGTCACATTTTTTAACAAGTCAATCACACACTCGGATCTCGCAATCAATCATAAATAACGAAACATAACTGTGCATTCATCACTCGTTAAAAAAGAAAAATGAAAAAATGAAGATAAACAAACTTTGATTCCCTCGTGCTGAGTAAGCAATGACGAAAAATCCTTGTAACTTTAGGATCGGATACCGTAAATAAGTTTTTTTTTTTTTTTTTTTTTTCTTCTTTGCCTTTAGTAACATACGGCAGGTGAAGGATGACATTAAGGAAGAGAAAATAAGACGTAAAAATAATGTTAAAGCTTATGATATTGATGATAAACATGGACGAACGAAAAATAATAATTAAGTCGTAATGATGATAATAGTAATAATAATAATCAAAGCGTCGAAAACTTAGGATTTTATGACGTGCATGTTTTTTTAACGCCCTGCGTCTAACTTACTATTAAATATCAATTATTTTATTATAATCATTTTGTAAGATATGTGAACGTTCTTATGTGTCCACTGATACAATATGCGCGCGTCCTTGTTATGGGTCGCTTTTTCGATTCAACGTTCTCAAGTTCCTGTTCGACTCGAGGCTCTCGCATTTTGTCACAATGGACGGCGCTCTTGTTTTATGTATGTACTCATTTTTTACATGATTTTTTTCGTTTTTTTAAAAAAATAAATGACGTTGCATACAAGATTTAAACAAAAAAAAAAAAAACCTCGGTAATTAGTCCGTGCCTATTTAATCTTGTACCAATTGTAATAACTTGAGCAAAACAGTGAAAATCCTAAACCTTTGTTAGCACCGTGACTTCTCCTTGTCCTCTGTAGCATAGATATTTTTGTAGCGATATATACGCGAGTATGTATGTGCATGTGTGTGTCTATATATACGAACATGCACACATATATATGTAGGAAAATAAGAAAAAACAAAATGAAAAGAAAACTGTATAACCGGAATGGAAGAGTTAGATCGGGTGTTTTCGGGTAAAGAACGCATTTTGCTACTTTTTTTTTTTTTAACGCGTGTACAAAGAAACCTTGGTGTATACGAGACACATTTTTTTATTTTGTTAACTAGATATACAACACAAAGCATCGAAGAAGTACGATGAAATCTTAATCGAATGAGAATTTGTTTGTTTCTACAAAAATAACTATTTGTTTAATATTTTAAGTTGAACACAAAATTGTCGTAAGCTAAAATACTGTTGAATCAACGGTATTGAATGCAAATCCATCTAATTAAAAAAAAAAAAAGAAACAAAAATATGATGTATAACAAAAAACTTTGTTTTTTTTTTTCGTTGGAAGCTACCAGTAATATAAAGCTTCTGGTCAAAATATCGCTAGAGCGATTGAAATGAAATAAAATAGTAATAATAAAGAATATACGAGAAACGCAAAGATAAAAAATTTATGCCGATGCTTTTATCTTATTTAGTGTACAAAACGTAGGAAAAAAAAAGAAAAAAAAAATCATTTAAAATAGTTAAGTAAAAATAATGCAAGAGAGAGAAAAAGAGACAGACAGAGAGAAGAGTTTAAAAAATGCTAAAGGGGAGATGTTCGAACAAATAATTGACAAACTTACGGAGAGAAACGTATAAGGCCGCGTTGAACGACTGTGACTCTCGAGAATATTTTGTGCCTCCCGAGTTTTGAACGTTTTGTCGATCGCAGCGCACTGCCTTTCCTTTACCGATTCTCGCTTGACGTATATGAAAAAGATCAGGACTGAGAACAGCTGTAGTAGCCTAATGGCAATGTCAAAACAAGTCATTGCCAATGACTCCTCCCTGCCGCCCCTTATTACAAACGTAAAAAAAAAAGCCTCGTTCACTACATAGCCATATTTTTCCATAATCAATGCAATAATGCAAAGTACACTGAATAATTAAACTATAAACAAAAAATAACAATAATACTTTAGATGGACGAGTTGGAAAGAGTGCGGAATACACCCATAGTCACCATAGGTATATGAAACGTATAACTTTATAGCGCTCTATTGTAGAGAACCATTTATTGTATAGCCTACTGTTTTAGAATACACTGCCGCGATTACATTGTTACTTGTAGTAAGGCATGTATGTTTTTTTTAATATTTTGTTTTTTTTTAAGTACTGCGTTTGATTAATTTTTATTTTGTCACCAATAAAACTACCACGTTTTATACAAACTAATTCTATAATTTTATTTTTTATTCAACTGTCATCATAAAAATGTCATCCATCACATATTACTGAACTTGAAACGCTATTGTACTGCGTAACTCGCATAATATTACATATACTGTGACTACATCATTCTCGATGTAGCACTACTTTTACCGGTAATCATGATTCTAATTGTTTTTATTGCCAAGTTGATTCAAAGTCGGCAGCATGCATCATACCAAAACATACGTTTTTGTTTTGTTGTTTTTCCTACTGTATGATTACTTTTATCGTATACTTGTATCTGGAGTTTGAAGAAAACTGACAATTGCCTAGCATAGAACCCCAGTAGCCACAAATAATACTACTAGATGTATATAGCACTCTTTCCGTAACCCATAATTATTGATAAATGAAGCATTGTTCTTAAGAGTTCCAGTTGATACAAGATTTTATACAGAATCTATATCTAAACCAGTATTTCAAACCAATGAAAAGAGATAAAGAAAGAAAGAAATAAAAAGAACTAATTAGTTTTTTAACAGCACCAGTGGCGCATTTCAAGTCAAAAGACGGAAAAGAAAAAAAAAAGTTTTAAGTAAAAAATGAAAGACGAAGGGAAATGGTCCCAAGAGTCTGTACGGCGATCGACGTTTTCAAAAGACTTGGCTCAGAGTGCTTAAGCCAGTATAATGCTCAGTGTTATCTAATGTTATATTTTTAGTGAAACTGCGTGTCGTGTACTTATGTACTAGTGTATATGTATTGTATATACATACACATACGTAATCCAAGCCGAGAAAGGGCAAAATATAATTAAATATTGTATACACAAGCAGCAAATAAGCGCGATTTTCAGTGTCTTGGATACATACAAGCAGCCTATGGATAAATACAGTAAATGAAAGGAAACAAACTATGTGTAGGCGATCATATATTGTAAGCTCGACGATAATCTGTAAAGCTTATTATATGTAAAAGAGGATGGTTTTACGGGAATGGTTGAGAGAAAAGAGGGAGTAAACAGAAAAATACAAAAGTAGTAATAATAAAATAATAATGATAATGGAAAAAAAAAAAGTTTATCAAAGTTGCGTTGAGTGGGGAAACAAAAAAAAAAAAAAAAAAAAAAAAAACGCGCTTGTACNCACCTTTTTTTTCTAATTTTTTTGTTTGTTACCGGTATTGTACGCAATAGAGCACTGTTTCGTTCCGTTTTACGCGGGGGAGGTTTTTGGGGTCACGGATTCCGGATGAGCAAAAACCACAGCCATACGACTTTCGGATGTACCAATACAAAAGGTGGGGAAACAAAAAAAAAAAAAAACAAAAAAAAAACAAAAAAATAATACAAACAACAATCAAAGATGAAATGATGATGTAAGAAAATAAAGGATACTTAAGTAGCTTCTATATTAGCGATTCGATCTTAGTGGTATGTAATACAAGTAGGGCTAGCCACTTTGAGGCAGATTACGATTATAATAATGTTTAATTTACTCCTTCGGATAGAACTCGTATAATTTATTACTATTATAACGTAATTTTTTTTTTTATTCTTAGAATTACTAATCTGAATTTTTTTACAAGAAATATGAATTAAGAAAACATGAAACATTTTTCTTTTGTAAACAAACCATTTCCCTTTTTCCTCGAGCGTGAGTTTTTCCTTCAATTTTTTCCACACACGCCTACGCATTTTTCACCTTACTTTAAACACATAGACGTAAAATCGGTGGTATTATTAATTTGTAGATAGACTTGAATTCAATGTGCCGGATGCGCGCTCTTCTAGAAATTTGCGCTCGCGTGCGCCACAGCTCTCTTTTTTTTTTTTTTTTCTCTCTTCATACAATAATCATTTTCTCTCTATGCATTTTATTAAGTACAAGCGTTTCGAGAGATAAATTGTTGTTAACGATACTTTGCGTTTTATGCCCAATGGGTGCGTAGTGCTACAACATAACGAAAGAAAATATCACACGTTGTAATGTAAATTGTGTTGTACACACAATATAGTATTATCTTGTGAACATGACAAATATTTTTACAGTAACTCGTGGTTTATTTTTCCTTTTTTTTTTTTTTCTATGTTACGATTATTAATTTCTTTACATGAAAATTGTATAAAGTAATTGTCGAAGTACCATTTTATCTTTAAGTCCATACTCGTATATATAAACACTATTTTATACATGTATTATTATGAATAAAAAAAAAATAAACTCATTTATAGTAACGACATTGTTATATTGATAAAAAAAACCTGTTCATGTGTACGATTGTGAAGATAACATATGATTATGCAACCTAAAACCAAAACAAGGGTTCTGATTTTTTCCTCAAAATTGAAAAAAAGACAAAACGAGATTTCGCCGAAAATTATCGTATAGTCTTGGACGATTTTTGAACGCAGTGGATTCCGCAAGTCAGGAGAGCGAGTCTCTGGCACAAATTTTTTTTTTTTTTTATATACTTGTACTCAATTTAATGTATGTGTAAATACACAAAAATTATTGTTAGTATCTGCAGTTTATAGAAGCGTAGCTCGTTGGCTGTTCTATCATACATTGATATATATATATATATATATATATATCAGTTAATTCGCACATGTAATCGAACGTGATTCAATTGCAATCAAATTCACAAAAATTGTCACTTAATTTAGTTTTACATTTCCATGCTTTTTGTTAGTGTTAAGTTTTTTTTTGTGTTTTTATACATATACACCGTAACTTTTAGAATCAAAACCGTAAGCAATCCACACATGGGATGACAAATAAGGGATCGATGGATAAAAAAAAAAAATTGAATCGAAAAAAAACGACGAACGAAAATATGGGGTCATAGGCGTATAAAATAATTTAAGCGTTCGATAAAAATAAGGTCTCCAGGTAGACACGCGTGCCCGAGAGTCAAGTGTGAGAGACACTTTCTCTATTGTATTTCGAGTGGCACGTTGGTATATTATCATGATGTGTATGGGTATACCTCGAAATTGTATCGGTTTTGAAAATGATGTGGCTTCCCAGTTGCGCATGAATGTAAGAGAACGAGCATTACTAGGAAAAAAAAATCACTTGATGCGGTTGGAAAATAAATAATATTGTGGGTCAAAAAAACGGTAACTACGTGTCGAACTCTTGAAGAAACAATAATAATAATAATTATAGTGATGATGACGATACTGAAAAGCAAAATAGTCTTGTAAGTTGCCTTAAACGGTGAATTATTCTACGATGATGTTGTGTAACACACGAGAGTTTTGGAGGAAAAGAAAGAGCTGTTTTGCTAAAACTGCACAGCGAACTCGGTTGAATTTGATTGAAAAGAAAAAAGAAAAAAAAAAATTTCTCTTAAAATCGAGAAAGAGTGATGAGACAAGCGAAAGATGAAAGAGAATAAAACTTTGCGATCCTTTGGTACGAGTATTTTTGCTCTAGAAGTAAACGTAAATATATATATATATATCGTTTGATTAATTTTNGTGACATAGCTATATATATATATATATATATATAATTGTATTTGAAAGAAAGCAGCGCATTGATGAGGCGAGCCAAAAAAAGTGAGAATAGGTTTCAGAGAAGGTGGCGTGCGATTGTGTGTGTGTGTATGTTGCGCGCTTGTGTGTAAAAGAGAGAAATGCGAATAGAGGATCATGAGTAAAAAAAAAAAAACAATACATTTTTAATTTTAAGCATCTAAGATGTGTTTAGTAAGACGAAAAAAAAAAAAAGTAAAGCATGCTTTCAGCTAGAAATTTAGGAAGAAACAACCACACTATAAGTAATAATATTAAAAACTAATAACGTGCGTAAGGCATTTAACCGAATGCAAAGTATTTCTTAATAAAAAGTACTTCGGAAACAAAAAAAAAAAACAGAGCTCCTAACAAGGGCTCTTGACTTTTTCATTTTTTATATACGCACTGAGAGCACGTACCTAATACTTGTGTACGTACACACAATAAGTATAATAAGCATAATTCATCCAACTCCTCGTCTGTAGTTCCTTTAGAAACGACTTTTTTTACTTTACTTATCCTGATGAACTTGGGTTTATGTTTTTTACCGCAGTATAACGATGATATACAACGATTTTTTTTTTTCTTTTTAAATTTATGTTCTCTTGAATCTAGTAAACAATATGATTTATTATTACTATTATTATTTACATGCATAAGTAACGTATTTTCAACTTTTAGTTAGTTAGGTTGTAAATCATCAAGCTCTAAGCGGCGTTTGAATAAATTATTTTATTTACACACCAAACTGGTTATTTTTTTGTTCTTTTTATGTGTCCCTCCGTAAAATCAATCCAAGCGATTTTCACGTAAAATCAAATGTATTCGATCAATTTGATTCTTGGCACACCTTACAGCTGAGAGAAAAATTCAGGTTGCGCCAACTCACGGCAACCAATAAAATACTTTCATCGTACCATCAGTGACATTTTTTGGTGCATGGTGTATTCTGATAAAATCATGCATTACAATGTAAGTGTAAGTAAACGAAAAAAGTATATTGTACCCAAGGTATATATGACCACGTGGAGTATGTGCTTGAGGTAATTTAAGATCTAGTTTTTTTTGTTTTTGTTTTTTTTTAATCTTCAGGATGATCATATTGCGAACACCAGATTAACGGAATAGTCAAAATTCGTTTTCTACGGGGAAATGAAGCTGTACAGTGAATGAGGAAGTCCTTCGGGTGGCCTTCGAGCGCGAACCGGCTCATTGTTTGTTGTTACCTTTGTTTTTTCGCTATAGCGGGCGCTGTACGTTTTATAGAACACGTGAGAGCGCAACCCAAGATGAACAACGAGCCGAACTCGAGCGTTTTCTATATGCGCTGTTTTATTTTTTTTACTCCCGCTATTTTTCCGTTCCGTGCACACTCGGCCGAGCGACAAATGGCCCTCTCTGCTCTTGGTGCGTTTAGAGAAACGCTTACTATCACTGTACCTTTGTTTTTTTTTGTTTTTTTTTTCATGGTGACAATAAGCAGTCAGCCATTCACTCGACTTTGAAGTTTAATATCACATATGTACGCTTGTTTGTTGTCCGGAGAAAAAAAAGCTCGACGCGAAATTTCAAGCGTTTGCTTACATGGTCATAAGTCGACGGTCCCTAAAAAGAGTAGCACTATTCATGTTTCCCCCATGTTAATTTAAATAAGAAATTTTGAATAGTACTACTCTTCTTAGGGACCGTCGAAGTACATCCGTATGCATTTTTAACAGTAGCTCATTTCGACTCGACGTTGAATTAATTTTTTTTTTTTTTTTTTTTTTTTACACAGACAACAACTACATTTTACCGTGTCTGCATTTTCCATGTATACAATTTCAATACTACTCCTTTTACCTAATACACACGTATACGTATCTGCAAAGTAATTGTCCAGCTTTGTTTTTCTTATGGAGAGTTAAAACATTACCCAGTCCTCGATGGATCTGCAGTCGCAGTCGAAATAATACTTTTGCCATCGTGTTTACATCGCACAACTTATGGAGCTTTTTTCCCCGGAGGTGCTTTCATTCCCCGAAATTTCGACCTACCTAAAAACAAAGTCATTCACACACGAACATATCATATCTATACATGTACATACATTATTAGAAGTTTAGGTAAGATTCGTCGGTACTCAAGAGCACTTTTATGTGTACATAAGTGTTGTGATTGTCGTATATGACAATCTTCAGTCGCCAGATGTGACACGTGTGTTTTACCACTCGGGGAAAAAAAAAACAGCTCTCATGTTTTGGTGATAAGACTGCAATTATCGAAAGCTCCAATAATTCGTGAATTAAATACGTATATGTAAAACCGTACACGAGTGGCTCGCACTCGAGATTATTTTTGCTATTCGATGCAACTCATAGTCGGTACCTACACGTGTGATACAATTAAAAGATTACCGCCGTTGATGATAATTTTTGCAGTATTTTTTTTTTTCTTTCGAAAAAAGTGAAATGTTTGTTGTGATATCACGTCGATGAAATGGCATGTAGCTTACCACATACACAAAGCGTAAAAAAATAAAAATAATGTGCCACAAAGCGCGGTGAAAAGAGAGGGCCTGATGGGGCATTGATTGGAAAATATTTTTGCGTTACACCTTGAAAATACATTGGGTGTGCGAAACGAGAATAGAAGAAAAGGAGATTTACGTGAAAACAATGGGGGATGGGCAAAGCGCAGCCTCTCTTTGTTTAAATAAACCAACGCGCATCTCCGAGAGTACGATGCACTCGGCCTTCGAGAGGCTCTTTTCTCACTTTATTCGCGCGTAGACACCGACACTTGTGCAGGTATGTATACATGTGCACGTATATACATGTAGGTTGTCACCGCGTACGCGCGAATCTATACATCCACTTTGGACCTTTATTTAGCTTTAACGTGTGATTTTCAACTTGCAGGTTCGTCTATTCTTTTTCTTTTCCATACACGTTACAGCAACCACACGTGTTGTGTTTCTTCTCGCGTTCACGCTCGAGATGGCACTAATCCGTTTTGGATGTTTGACCGCCATGTATAGTACCAAGTTGAAAATAATTTCAAAAAATATTGTGCATATTTTCTCGCAGGTGGATCAATTGTGTTTTCAAAGTATACGGGTGCGCCCCCGTGCAGTCACCTACTCCTGCTCATCGATTCGGACGAATGCAACGATGGTATACATGACAATGTGGTCGGGTATCGGTAAGTAATGATGTATATATTATAAGAGGCGTGCACGTATCTGCCATGCACGGACGAGATGAGCGCGCACGCGGTTGACGGCACTTATTGGACGGCTGTTGCCTTTGTGTTATTTTCGGCGGGGATCCGCGGTACACAAGTGAGACACTGCGGGGCCACCACCACCACCACCAGCAGCAGCAGCAGTAGCCGCGAGACGAAGACGAAGAAGAAAGAGCCCGAGGAAGCTTTAAATAGGACCGGCTCGAGCCCCGACAAAGTCAGTTTGTTCACAAACGATACCCTCACCCCGTCGTGTCTGTACATATAATATAATATATACTTACGTTCCTCGTGCATTACACCAGGTATATGTTGGAGCATCGCACTGTGTTCGACGTGAGTACACCCATGATACAACCGATCCGTCCCATATCGATCCAACCATATACATACAATATACGGAGGCCGTAAGCTCGATCGTCAATTATCACAACGGATAATATCAACGCAGCCAATGTGCCGATCTTCCCCCTCGCGCGCCGCGCCGCAACTATATAATATCATCCTCCGATGTGTCCAGGGGAGCTTTTTCCTCTTTGATTAACAACCGATACCCTCATTAAGTGCCCTCTCGTTACCGATACGGCGATGCGGAATCGGTTATGCAAGCGCTTCTTCGTACACACATCCCCCCCCCTCTCTCTCTCTATACGCACATCCCCACGCGATCGAGTCTTGTATCGGCGCAGGTGTGTTTATGTGTGAAAATAATTAGGTACTTACTTATTTTCGTCGTGTGTCGCGTGTGGCGAGACTACTTATATATATATATATTTATTACATTTTACCTGCGTACGAACAAGAGGTAAGTATAACATAATATACGCAAACGGTCTATACATCGCATCAATATTACACCTATCTGCATTATGTTGTGAATTCGTAATATGCGTAAATTATTGTACATAGGTGTACATGCGTTATCGTATAAGTGTGTGTTTGTACGTGCAGTGCGATGTGTCAGGGACATCAGTGCCGATATATAAAATTAGATACCTGCTTATACCTATATACTCCTGTATAAGTAACATGACAAACATGGGACCTGACACGCTGACGATCGTCATTTACTTTGACGGATTAAATGCTTGATTGTATTGTGTACGTATGACAGTTTTTTTACAAAATTAAACTTGTCGGTAAAGTTTGGCATGCTGATGATTGTCGGAATATAATATATTGGGTATCCCCGTGTGTGACAACCGGCACTCGATCGACAGTGGGTGACTTGGAACTACAATGCTGCGTTGTCTCGTTCATTTACCCGGTTAATGGTACACAGGCCAAACGGGTCGTCGATCAAATATTTACAATAACAATTAACACGATAGGTATTATAAAAACGCGTGATCGCACGTATGAAATATACATATATGATACTATTTGATCGTATATAATATTTGAATATTATCAATAGCGCGAAATCTTGGTGCGACCTGTTTGGTTGATAAATCGGCAGCGTAATTGAAATATGCTAATTGCGAGCTGTTTTATGTGTTGTAAAGACGACATATATGTGTATAAGGTACACATGTGTACTTCAATTAGTTCTCGTTATGATTTCTACGAGTGATCTCTTTCGATACACGCGATCGGTTCATTGGCTGAGTTGTTGAAACAAAAAACACGTCGCAATCGAGCTACGTATATGGAGCTTTATACGTATGTACCCATTCATATATGCAGTAACGCTTAAAAAACGTGCTTTTTACCCTCTCCCCTTGTGATTTAACTCAATTATCGATCAAAGCATGAATTTTTTTTCTTTCCAATTAAACAAGCTGCAGTGAACTTTGCTGTGTTGTTGATTGTATTAAAAACTCGTGCTGCTGTGTTTCGTTTGTTTTTAATGTGACGCCGAGCACGTGAACGACCCGCTGCACAAAACGCAAATCGGAGAAACCGAGTGGTCACGCACATGGTCGTTTACACGCGTATTATTATGATTCAGAGAGCCAAATTAAACCAAGGGAGGCGCTTTCAAACAAAACTACGAAACTAAAAGAGAAAAAAAAAATTATATATATATACGCGCACAAAGAGGAGCGCGCCAACGCTCATATATTTTATCTCTCGCGAGAGCGCGCGCACGCCTCGCCAATATTGTACACATGTATTATATGCCAAGGAGATTTTTTTTTTTTTTTTTACCTTTTGCTACGTTGCACGCCATGTGAAAAACACTATGTTTACCCGCGCTTTCGAGACTTTGGGTAATACTTGGTGGACGTGGATACATATACACACCCATGGCCATTGGAGATTTATTTTGTTGTCTTTGTTAACACAACTTACATATGCCGCATCGTCAGTGAGTATATACACAAATCGCGGGTGACATCGTTATTACCCACAGTTACATATTCACGACACTCAAAAGATTGTTAATCGTTAGATTTGCATGAAAATCACGTCACTCAAAATATAAATCGATAACAAAATTATAAATACACAAAAAAGAAACGATTGGCGTCGTTGGCGCACCTCCGAATTTCCAAAGTGTCGAAAATCATACAAATACCTACTTACGATCGGTAAGTGCAACGATAGGCACACCGTATGTATACGTGACGTTTATTTATCGCACCATCGTCTTCGTCCCCAATCACGTGCATCTGTAACATCACGAAACAGGGGGGAATATAATATGTGTAAATAATGTAAGTTCGAGGAGTTTCCCACGCTTTTATTTTTGGCGCGACATCGTGAAAACTCGCTTGGTTTTCCATCCACTCGAGAGAGCGTATAATATACACAAAAGTAGGTGGGTATGAGGTGTAGTGTGGCCCGTATATTATATATACTTACTTGTATGTATACTTAGAACGCGCTCGTCGCGTCCATGTTGCCAAAATCTCGACAACATAATATACATTATACCTATATACTCCTTTTTTTTTTTTTTTAATTATTATTGGGTACGCGGTCCAAGTCTTTGTTTACTCTCCATCTCGCTCTTTGCTTGGACCAGCCCAGTTAGTCTTGTCTATCTGCCGCTCGATGCTTTTGGCGTGGATTTTTTTTTTCCTTCCTTTCTTTCCTTCGTGACAAAGAACGCTTTCCAGGAAACCCCGGCCTTTGACGTAAATTACAAACTTGGTAAACTAAAGCAAAAAAACGCTTACTCGAGATTTTGTCACTAAATTATGAGTGTCGCACCCGAGTACGGCGATTAACCAGACGACGGTTTGGACCGCGTGTTGTACACCAGCAGCTACAACTGATAACCGCGTGATAATGTACATTCATGACTTACTATGAAAAAACCGTCGAGTACAAGTGTATACATAGTTGAGAGATGAGTTGTACATGTAGGAAAGTTTGAGAGGGTAGATATTTACTTATCATCCACATTGAACAGTGAGATAGAACATGGCCAAATTGCAATATATGGGGATACGTGTTCGGAGGGTGTGGAGATAAATCGCGTCATCCCAAACATGTGGTAGGGGCAGAAATATATACATACATGTTTCTCTTGACAATTTATTTGTTTCATCGCGTGGAAAACTTGTTCAAAGTCATTCATCCTCGTTTAACTATGGGTACATTACACTATGATGCAACTTTTCTAAACGTATGCTTTTCTCTTACCGTTAAACTACATGTTGTATAGTTTCAGTTGTACTGAGAAGACTGGAGATTTTGTCACCACTGGGAACTAAGACTTTGGTTCGATATAATACCCCCATACATATCCATACACAATCACAGCTACGAGAAATAAATGCAACAGTAGAGAGTGTCTAAGGACAAATATCATACATCCGGATTCGAGCTGTAGCGACTATAGCGACGTCAGAGAGTGCGTATACGATAAACCTACCTACATTGATATGCGTTTGATAGCAAACACACTTTATATTTATTTAACGTGCACTATACTTACATGTATGCATACGTCTCTAGGTATTTGTGCTGTAGAGATCTCGAGTGCATGTAACAACGATCGATATGGCAATAATGGCACTGTGATGCGCGCACGTGCACAGTTCCTCTCTCGCACCTCTATATAACGTAACGTTTGCATAATGCGCGTGATAATTTCGAGCAGTTAAATGCATATGACGATGTTATTCAATTATGTACGATAAAACGTACAAATAATTTAAACACCAACAACTCAAGTTCATTGTGTATTCATGTCCAAAATTGCTACAACAATAATGTGCCATTTTTTTTTTTTTTTTACTATCCACATATATAAAATATACTTTCTCACAGCAGCAGCAACACAGTACTAAGTATTGTCATTTTTCTCACCCATCTAAGTAGCATTATCACTATTAACCGTATGAAAATTTATTGCAACATTAGTTACGAGCGCTGATTGTGATGAAAAGAAAAAAATGTTAAATTTTTGTAAAAAAAAGTTTTGGCAATTTCAAATGGTGTGATGTTACGTTTCCAATGATTATTTGTTTCGGTTTCGCGTAAAATCTCGGGACATTTTGAACGATGAACTTGAAATTTAAGTAACAACTATTAATTAGTAACGTATAGCCGAAATATCGAGGTTTGGTATGAAAATCATCGAAACGGAAAATCTCGGGACAAGATCGGAAAAAACGAGAAATCCCGAAAGAAATTTAGTCTCTGCCTATAATTCAGCAAGAAAGACTAAAACATAATGGCACGCTTTATTTATTTACAAGCGCTCCGGCATATCTTGGCGTTAATCCTCAATACCCGTCTAGTCCCCTTATTTGTTAATCGACGCATTAAGTAACAGCCGCGTCAAAGCACACGCGCGTGCATCACATCAACACACATACACGCATCTATTTAATTCAATGTACATACGTAAAGCACATCAACAATTTTTGTATAAAAAAATTGCACAAGTGGGCGAGCTAAGCGCCACTCATTCTTACAGTCATTGTCATTGCTTACTCACAATTCATTTATTAAAAAAAAAAAAAAAAAAAGTCAAACGAATAACAATAATTAACTTTCGGAAGATCCAGCATTGGAACATCAATGAAAAAAAAAGCATCGATTGTATGATATTTTCAGGATCCGAACAAGTCGTGAGCTCATCTTTCTTTTTATTAAAGTAATGTGCAGATGTAGTATTAAACACCCTATGAGGATTGAGTAACGGTTTTATTTCGCATATACCATTGTATGTACGACGCATCCATCTATAAAAAATGTATAAAATGACCCATCGACATAAATAACGAGCAAAATGACGACACGTCGATGGATTGTAAATTAATGTAAAAAAAAAAAAAAAAAAAAAAAAGACCGGTACACACGGTCCATTAATACGTATATTGTTATTTGATATTTTTAAGATGCCGTCCGAGTGCATAGCGAATCCTCTGCAGCGGGAGCTGGCGGACTCGATAATCCGGATGCAGCCTCTGGACGAGATCCGTATACTACTTGCGTGCGGCGCCAAGACGAACGAGCCGGTGACCCAGGGCCTCCGGCCGCTCCATTACGCCGTTTGGCAGCGCTACACCGACGCGGCCCAACTGCTCCTCGTCCGGGGAGCGGACATCGACGCGACCGACGAGTGCGGCTACTCGGCCCTCCACCTCGCCGCCGAGCACGGCTACCACGACCTCGTCAAGCTCCTCCTCGAGCACAACGCAAGGGTCGACCACCGCGAGGACACCAGCGAGCCCTTCCCCAGGTCGTTATATCACCCATATTGTGCCAATTTCCAAGCTTTGTGGCTAATGCGTGTACTCATATAATTATGGTGAATTGACGCCGTGCAGGACTATGCTGTGCGACGAGCCGCTGCGGCTGGCCCTGAGGAACCACCACATCGAGGTGGCGCGGACGCTACTCGAGGCGGGGGCCAATCCCAACAAGAGGTACTTTTTCGGCTCGGAAATCAACCTGGTCTCGCCCCTTGATCTCGAGTGCATGGAGCTCCTGTTGGCCTTTGGTGCCCAGCCCAACACGAGGGACCGAGCGGGACTGACGCCCCTCATGAAGGCTGCCCGCTTACCACAGGTATACATACATATAATTATGTACAATATACGCGACTCTCGTGTGTTTATATTATATCCAAACAATGCAATATAGGTGCCATTACCACGCAATACTTGACCATTTTTAGGTGCCGATTTTTTTTTTTAAATTGGAGCTCTCGCGGTATAATATACATGTTATACCGATCATATCCGCATCGTACATAATATAGTGTACAGTAGAGAGATACATCACATACATGTATACGTAAATATGTACCATATATTAAGAAGTGTTTTGTTAAATTTCATAATATTTTTATTTTCTCACGCGTATACCCGCGGCGGCTGCGGCAACGTCTCCCCACCGTCCTGCGTGCATGTAAATACTATACACGGCGAGCCCAGAAAATCTTAGCTTTCGAAAAGTGGTACCGTAACGTCTTCGACATGTTCGGCGGGCCGGCCGATCTTTTGCTTGGCTCCGACGGCCGCCACGAGGCCGCCATCCGTCGCGGACTAGAGGGTCGCGGCTCGGAATTAGGAAGTGTTGACTTATATACCTAAGATTTGTTTTCCCTCTCTCTCTCTCTTTCGCTCATTCAATAATTATGTACACACGTATCCTTACATATTGCAGTATTAATAATGTGTTATCACACGTCATTGCTCGGCTCCCAGCGCAGCTATACACATTCATACACACGCGTGTTTGATTTGTTTTTATCATAATATTTTTATCGCTGCAAACATCAATATATTATACACAATATATAGTCCTTCACGCGACGAAGCGATATATACATTTATACATTTTTTTTTTTTTTTTTTTTTTTACACGTTGCATATATACACACCATTTTAAGTTTGAAAGCCGGAAGGATAGTTTGTCATCATATTATGTACATGTGTACTTGTGATGTTTGGCCCCTGCTATCAAATAATTTGAACTATATACATATACCTATAAATGTACTTTGTGGGATTTCCTTCCGGATTTCGAGTTTATTTTTTTTTTTTTTTTTTTTCGATGTGTTACATTGATTGTATATAGATATGCGTAGAATTAGCCGATTTAGGTGTACGTGTGGGTGTGTTTACGTGCAAGGAAAAAAAAAAAGGAAAAAAATCCTACAAATGTGCGTGAGCGTTATTTGTGTGCACGTAAAAAAAAAAAAAATACCTATAGAGTGCAATAAATACTTGTGCAGGGCATAGCATCGGTGCTGCTTTTGCTGAGCTACGGAGCTGACGTGAACGCGATGACGGACGCGAGGCACGATTACAGGACGGTTCTGCACTACGCGATTTTGGGCGGGGACTCGACAGTCATCAATCTCCTGCTGAAGCAGGGCGCCACACTGGACCTCGGAACCGACTACCAGAAGCCCACGGCCCTCGACCTCGCCATACTCAAGGGCGACCCGAACATCGTCGACATGCTCCTCAAAGCTGGTACGTGTATATATTTTGGACACTATACGCTCACCTATACGGGTGTATAACATAATATATATATATAGTGTCCCCTGTTGTTGTTGTTGTTGTTATTGGATACACGTGTGTATAAGTATGCACAAATATAAAAAAAATAAGTGGACTTTCAGGTGCAAACGTGAACGCGACGTCACCGATAATCGGCTCACCCCTGCACGTGGCTTGCGCGGACAACATACCGAACCGGCTGCAGATAATGACGATGCTGCTTGAACGAGGCGCCGATCCAAACATATGCGTCAACAGGTACACCTATATACGTATACCTTATCATCAACATATATTATATTATATCTTGAGAATTTTTTATCATGGCGCAACATAGGTACACGTGTGGATGTTGATCTGCTCTTTTGGGATTTGTGTTTTACTGTACGCTTGACTAACGGTTGTTGCATGTTCCGAGCCCATCAGGTTTCCCCGTCTCTCATTGATACACCTACCCTTAGAAACACTCCAACCATTAGATAATTTATACTGATTTCACTGTACGTATGGTCACGCGGTGTACCTATGAGGGTAAAAGACAAACAGTCACTTATATTTATCGGTTTGTCACTTTATTATCATTCATGGGATGAAAACAAGAAAGAAAGACCTATGATGAACACGTGATAATGAAATGGTCTTGGGGGGTGGTACATGTTAGCAAAAAAGAACGTATACCCCATGGGTGTATATTATGTATATGTTTTCTGATATATATATATATAAAAATATTTGTAAATGATGAGACGCATATGAATTGTAAATTGACGATCCACAGCGAGGAGGGACTGACCCTGCGCCCGGTGCTGGCCGAGTACGTGGCTTCGAACGAAAACCCCTCGGTCGAGGTGGTGTCCCTCCTACTGAAGTACGGCGCCCGGGTCGTGATAAAGGTAAGGGCCCCTCCTTCCGTCTTCTTCATTTTCTGTACTTTTGTTGTTTACGTTACTACAAGCATAAGTATATGTATGATATGGAACAGACGCAGTTTCGCGATCCACACGGCATCCTGAACTCCCTGCAAAACGCGGCGGACAAGCCCCGGCTGTTGGCCGCCCTGCTCGACGCCGCCGAGAGCTTCGACCCGTGCATGATCCGCAGATCGTCGAGCCTCACCGACGCCCAGAAGGCCCTCGTCATGGAGGCCGCCAGGACGCCCTTGCCCCTCATGCACCAAGCACGGCTCATCGTCCGCAAGATGTGCGGCACTCGGCTCACCAAGATCGTCACGTCGCTACAACTGCCCCACTGCTTGCACCGCTATCTCCTCTACGACTTTTACTGATACATACCATGAACACGCGCGCACGCATCACTCGCGCAACCATCGATACAATCCCCATCCCCAAATCGTTATCTTTTTTGTTCTCTTTTCACTGTCATCCGTGTAACACGCGAAAACTCCTTTTTACCCCGGGATGTGTACTTTCTTTTGCTTTGCAGAGGTTACAAGTATCCCAAACTTTCGTATTTTTGCGGTTACTTTTTACTCGTGACTAACAACTTCGTCACTTGTCACCGTTACATTCTTACAATATTCATCATTCGATTGACACATCTACACTCAACGAGTACATGCAACACATAATTTTTACTGTATTAATTACCTCTGTAATTATATACGCGGGTTTTCACTTGTCACGCACACTTGTCATATTTTTTGCTTTTAGATATTGTGATATCCGAACGATCATCGAATTAACTATTTTAGTTGTTATACAGTTGAAGTTAAGGAGTAAAACGTTATACTTATTTTTATTTACAAATATGCTTAATTTTTACTTAGTAAAATGCTGAATAAAAAGGGGAATAAGAATATATTACAGCATAGATTGTACTACCAAAAAGGTGATTATAAATCTGTTATTAATATTTATCGAACGTTTGAAATTTAATTCCTANTTGTTAACTTATTATCTCGCGGTTTTGTATTCAATGGACAAACGAATAAGGGTTTTTTTTTTTAAAAAAGCCGAAAATTGTATCAACTATATATAGTATGGATATGTCGATCCCTCTAGTCACTCGATTCAGTTTTTGTCCTTTTACGTTAAATTTTAGACAAAATATGCAAGCGATGGTCTTGGTATACATAAAAATGGTTTATTGGTTTATTATTCTTAAGTACGAATGTACAATTATTAGCCAACGATAGTCTATATATATATATATATTTATCAAAGAACAAAAAAAAAAAAAACATGCAAAGATATATGTGTACATTTTTCAAGTGATACAATATTACGTATACATGTATAAAGCATTGAGAGCAAATCATGTAGACGTGGATTATATTACAAATGTTGTTCAGTAGGGGGCATTAAAGTGCACAGACTCTAGTATTATGTATTATTTTTTCGTATCATTCGACTACAACGATTTTAATATTAAATTAGTTTTACGGGTATTACGTTTATTTACGCGGAGCTAATGATGTATTAGTATATATACATATATGTGTAGGCTCCGTCGTTCGAATCAATTGAACCGACGACAAACAATGTCATTTTGTACCTTTGTATGTACAATAAGCGCATATGATATGCTGTTGTATACATTCGTATTATTAAAACAGTATTTATGAACAAATAAAATTCACAAACATGAAATTTTTATTCAATTGGTACGTTTTTACTTTCATTGCGATTATTATTATTAATATTATTATTACCATTTTTTTCGTATTTTATCGAGTAAATACATGCAATAAGTGTGTCAACGACTGCTTGATGATGAAGCAAATATTGTTTTTGGAGAGCGATAATCAGTTGCAAAGGCTGAAACTGTTAAATTTATATGTATTTTTATTCAAATGAGCCAAGAAACTTGAAAAAACATAATTGTGCGTGTCCCAATGGTAAAAGTATCGAAAAAAAAGGTTTCTTTTTTTTTTTCATTTTTCACACGATACACGTTGGACCGCGCTATCATCGCCACGTTAATTTGTACGTCTGGCGACGTAATATAGTCATCCATGTGGATAAAAATATTCAACGTCGGAGATAAGATAAATTTCGAAAATCAATACGTCTCTAGCACGGCTGTGTAGTTTTGTTTGTTGAATAAACACAGCTATTATGGATCTAAGATGATGTAATTGAAACACAAGTTACTCACAAGGGTTACAAAAGAAGTAAATAAAAACAAAGTTACACGTTACACTTTGGTAGTAGTATCGAGCAGAAGGGGAGTGTGCGTACTTATACATTGATGACAAAAGCTATACTTACATAAATTTCCAGCAAGAGGAGGCTGCAATATAGTATATATAAATATGTATATTATATATACAACATCTGCTGCGCCTGGCAGGTTCTCTGATGGCTTTTCATTGTGCACCTAAAGGTATATAATAGTGACGGGTAGCGGAGGCTCCTTAAATATATAGTACAAAGAACAAAAATATTCTCTCTCGTATGAGTTGTACGGATACATAAGTATACTCGATTGTAGTCGGAGAGCCGGGGCGCGCAACACGCGGCACACGCGCCTCACACATTCGTTTCATAGTTTGGTCGACTGTCACGGAGTTCGGAGCCGCTCAAGCCACTCAAAGATAAATTGTTGTTACAATCTTTATTCTCCACATTTTTTTGTTTGTTTTTGGTGCCCCCAACTATTCATACATAGAATAGAAATTGTAAAAATAAGGTACTGGACTCTTTTATACTTATTATTATCATAGGAACGTGGTAACAATTCCTGCTTGGTTTTTTTTTATTTTATTTTTTGTTTGTTTTCCAATCAATGCAGTTCCATACCTTGGCATTTTTTTTAAGCACAGCTCGCGGCACACGTTTAACATTATTTCGGTACAGTACAAAACAACGAGTGAAAATAAATTTATTTAAAAAATGGCTATTAAAAATAACGAGGCAATACCTGTTAAAAACCTTGCTTGGCCGTTGTGTGGTTTTTCACGTTTACTGTAAAATACAAGTACAAATGGCACGAAATATTATGTACATTCGGCTCGACTAAACTCTTTCCATACGCTTTGTCAGAAATGACTTTTTTCTCTGTATAATAATAATAAGTCGGAATATTCCACGATTGCCGGTCGCCAAATAATAATCATCGTTTTAAAAGTTATATTTATATTCCTGGAACTGAAGCCCATAAGCCGGTGTTATATATATATACACGTACAAGCGCGATTACAACGTACAGTATATATTATATTATATGGTAAAACGTTGTTTGTTCAGGTTTTGGATATTGATTGGATCGTGAATCGTAACGATGTAGTTACTATACTTACACGCGTGTACGTACACATGAATACATGACACACAGCCAGGGTTTGTTCAGCCGGAGGATATAATCAACACGAATATCGTTGACAAAATACATCGAGTCCCGCTGCCATAGCTACCCATGTATACATATACATTGCGTTACATTTTATTGCGCCCGGCGCGCGCATTATACAGCTGAACCGACAGGGGGTTGTTGCGCGCTTACACACACACACACGTGCTCCTCTCCACCAGTTTTGTAACCAGGGTGTAACAACTTACAAGGACACTCGCTTGCATCCACAACAGTTTTTGTAAATATATATTTTACCAACGTATACATTCGTTAGATTTTCGCCCGTTTGGCCATATTCGCGTGTTTAAAAACGCAGCTATTTACCAAATACAATATTCCATGATACGCGACATTGAATTATACAAGCGGGGGTGGGGGGGAAGGGACGTCAGTTTATCGATTACGTTGGTTTTGGGTATACATGTACACACACATTTATAGGGATCGGTCCCTTTGACACGGACGCACACAGAGCCCATTGGACCACGTACGGATGCACATTAGGCGGTACAGCCTCGGCTAATGATATAATAATTAAACCGCCGGCTGATTCCTTAATTGTGTATTCCGCGTGTCTCCGGCCTGCATCACGTGCACATGTATGTACAGTTGGAGCGATTAAGCGCAATTATTGCAGGCCATCAGGATGATCGTGCAGCCGCTGCGCCGAACGAGGTCCATCGATGACGATCATACGCCAACGGGGCATCGGTGGCAGAGGCCGTAAGACAGCGAATGGCCTGCACGAGAGCCGGTTACGATACCGGGACCGTCAGCCACACCACAGAGTTCAACGCACGCGTCGGGCTGTACAGTTTTTGGTGAGTTTCGTCGAACAGGATCCCTATAGGAATACCTAACACAAGCAATATCGTACAGGTAAGCGAGTAAATGTATATCTCAAAATTGAAAATGGCCCCTGGGACGTATAAATAGTCACTTGATTGCCAGTATAGGTGCCATTGAAAACAAAAAAAGCAGCGAGATGCCGGGTAGCGGTGGAGCGGCGATGAAGCAAAAAAGGTCCACCAGCAACGGTAGAATCAAAAAGAAGAGGACCGGCGAGGCCAAGGAAGAGGAGGAAGAGGAGGAGGAGCAGGTGGAGTTGAGGTCGTTGCGGCGGACGAGGTTTCACGTAAACAGGGTGGACAGCATGGAGGGCCGGGTGAGCCTGTTGGGCGAACAGGAGGCCAGAAAGTCCCTCTCGATGAGGAACTTGACCAGGGAGGTGCTCCCGAGGCTCGACAACTACCGGAACATCCTCAGCGTCCAAGCGGCCCACCGGCCGTCCCTCGACGAGCTTCACAATTACTCCTCCCTCGACAAGGTATACAAATATTCACTCGCTCCTACAATATACTTACGGAATTTGCTATTAGCGCGTGTTTTTTTTCTGTGCGAAAAAGCCATATGAATAATTTTAATTTAAAATATCCATTTTCCTCCGTTGATCGTGTTTTTTTTCCCGTCACCTTGCGTCACAAGTCTTATTTTCTTTTTTTTTTTTTTTTTTTTTTTTTTTTTTTTTTTTTTTTTTTTTTTTTTTTTTTTTT